TATAAAAAACTAAGTTTGAAAATAAAGATCAAGTTATTTGTTTGTTTGTTTTTCCAACATAGTTCGTCTTCATTATCATCATCAATATTTTTACTTTCATGAATGAATGAATGAATGAATGGAAAGCCAATTTTTACAGTTCATATATGTGTATCCGCCCGTCAATGTCTTACGGAATGGCATGCCATACATAACAAACAAACAAACAAGTACAATGGCTGCCAACAAAAAAAAATCATTCTATTTTTTCAACCCGGTTTCATCGGGTTTGGTCCATCATTTTGTTGGTCATAATGATCAATGAACTATCCAATCCGACCGAAAATAATATCCCGAAAATGAAAACAGGAAAGAAAAATATCTAACAATAATAATAACGAATGAAAAAAAATGAAAAAAATAACAACTGAATAGGCAGAAAAAAAATATTGAATAAAGCAAGCCATTATGTTCCATGTGTCCATTCTTGGACGATCAACGGTCGATAGGCCGAGTTAAGGCTCATGTCAGCTCTTTTGTTATTTTATTATTATTATTTTTTTTTGTTGTTGTGTGGATATTATTGGTGGTGGATATATATTATACTAAAGATCTATTCCACCAATATGAATTCTAGCAAATTTCATTCATATTATTTGTGTTCGTTCGTTCGTTTTTTTCTCTCCTGGTTATATTAAGCTTGGTTGTTCGATTTATTCTCGGTTGGTTTGTTCTGGCTTTTTTTCTGGTATCATCATCATATTATAATAATCATTAATTAATTATACATCAACATCATTTTTTTTGCCCCACACTTTTACCAATTTCGGTTTGCTTCATTCATTCAACCATCCATTCAAGCAAAAATTCAATTCACCAAGACATGTGTATTTGTGGGCGATTGGTTTTGTGTAGTCAATATTATGTAATGTTGTTTATGACTTGATGATGAAAACCAATATTTTAATTTCATTCACAGCAAGCCTTAAAAAAATTACTACTAAATTACTACATCCTATTCATTTTTATTTAATCACAATAATGATTTTTAATCGTGATGAAAGATTTTCTTGACATTTCAGTACTTGAAAACAAATATGATATAAATGATTAGGATGCAACAATTCATTCAAAACTATAATAGCTTGCTTAACGCTTTGTGAATAACATGAAATTTTCTCCATCTGAAACTATCATTTCAGCCTTTCAGAATGGAAAAATAAAAGTAGCCAGTATTTTTTTCGATTAATCAATTGGATATTTTTGTCAAACATATTTGTTTAGTTTATTCAATATATATCAAAAGAATATTTGCTCTAAAATTAGTTGATTTCCTTTTCTAAAAGCATAAATTTTTAATTTAAAAACTTGGCACACTTTTGATAAATATTATATCAAAATAATCAGCTAATAAAAATCTAGGTCAGATTTTTAACCCCCATTGAAATCAAGTTTTGTATGAAAGATCTTTGTTAATATCAATGATGATGATTAAAGAACCAATAAGTTTTGGACAGTGGTTTTTCATTGGCAAGCTGCCTGTGCCAATCCACACGCACACATCATTTCATTGATTAAATAGTAGATCAAACATACGATTGTCCGAGAAACCCAATATTCAATCCCTTTTGTCCTGATATTATTATTAATATTAATTTTCATAAAGTGTAAATTAAATGATGGCCATATATTGAAAAGAAAAATGAGACAATATTATTATTAGTATTATTATTATCATCTAAGTTGAAGAATGAAATGAATATATAGACAATATATTCTATCTGAAATATTGATGATGATGATAGTATTGTGTTCCATTATCATTGTAATAGTTTATCATTATTATTATTATTATAGTTGAATAACAATAATGAAAAAAATGTCCTAGCCAATTTATATATGGGATACTATTATTGAAAGATTCTATTCGTTGTTTTCTATATCATTTTTTTTTTGTTCTTAGTCATCGATGATGATGATAGTATAGTCGATGTTAATTAATGATTCGTTCAATGTCTTTGACTTGGTTGAACAAAGGTTGATTGGATACCAAAAAAACAAAAAAACAAAAAAATTGATTCTACCATATTGAAACTAATACGGTCAACGACTAAACTAGAGATATGGGAAAAGAAAACTGTTTTTAAATTTCCAATTTCTCGCCTGAACTGAATTTTTTTTTCACATGTTTTTTCCGTTTGTTCGTAGAATCATAAAAAAAGCATCTCCCGCCTTTTTCCTCCCCATAAAAAAATGATTACAAGTGATTAATGATGAGATTATTAGATACACAAGCAAAAAGGTCCATTGCTAAGCTACTATTATAATCTTACTAATACTTTCATCTAACTATTATTAGGATGGAGAGGGAGATAGGGACAAAAAGCTCTTTCATATTATTTCAACATCATCATCATCAAATACCACGATACTCGAAACCAAATAACAAACAATATACCAAGAACAATGTGACAATTGTAATCAATGAATAGTTTGGTTTTATCATTGAATCAAAATGAATGGAACAGAATTGCTACTGTTAGGATGTTTTTTTTCGCAATGAATCTAAAAGCAAAACAAAACAAAACAAAAGCTTACTATCGTTGAATGTTTTGTTTTTTGGTATTACGAAAGCAGTAGCAATAACATAAGCAACAGCCTCACAATTTTTATTCGTATTGTATATCATTCATTTCATTCTAGGGATTTTTTGTTTTGTTTTGTTTTTTTTTGAATTATATAAAAAATGACAAATATCTCTTCAATATTTCAAATTTAAATGACATATGACACATAGTGTCAGTGTCACATAACAAATGGTGAAGGGTGGGAATGAATGAATGAATGAATGAATTGTAGAATAACTGACAACATTTGTTATAATTGAGATGAATTTTCTTGTTTCAATTTTATTTTCTGATTCTCCCTGCATACATTTATTTTATTTTATTCTGGTCGGATATTCAACGATAGAATTGTGAAGATTACCAAAACAAAACAAAAAAAAAACGCCAAAACAAAATTTGCTTATAGATTCTGTGTGTCTGTGTGTGTTTTCACCGCATTTTCCATTACGATTATACAATTAATCAACATTACAACATATGAATCAGCATATATGATGATAGAGATATAATCATAATTTTCAATTTGAATCATACATTAATATGATTCATTTTGGTTTTTTTTCTCCATAAACAAAAGCTAAAAAAAATAATAGAATCCATTCAAACATTCTTTTTTTTCGATTCGACTCGAACAAAAATCGATACGAATCTTTTTTGTTTTTTTTTCTTTTGGTTCACATATTTTGCTTCAATGGCAGGAAATAAATCGAACAACAATAACCAAAAAGAACAAAATTACTTTATTCATTGAAAATAAATCCCCAAAAAAAATCAAGAAACCGATTGGGAAAAGTCAGCAGATTGAAACCGGAAATGAATGATGAAACAAACAGCACAAGTAAAAAAAGAAAACAAAACAAAATGACAACCACAATCACAATCATATAAATATATAGTTTATTTTTGATTCAGCCCATTGTCATCATCATAATCATAATAATCATCAATGACAATATTGTTAAAGTTTTAATACAGAAATGTACAAATTATTTTCAAATAATAAAAAAAAAATCAGCAATGAATTTTTCTGTGATGAAAAAAAAACGGATACAAATATCCGATTCACACATACATATATCTCATATCTACATTGGATAATGAATTGAGTATATAAAAGAAACACATTTTATTGAATGAAACGGCGTGAATAATGTACCCTTTTTGTTGAAAAAAATATTTATTACATAATCATAATCATAGTTGTTGTTTTGTGAAAAAAAAACTTGTTTTTTATTATTTTTTTTCGTAGAATAATGGGAAAAATGTTATTTATGTCACAGGAAAAACGATAATAATTTGAAGAAACAATCTAGGGATACTTGGATGGTAATAGAGAAAACATTGAAAAAAATTCAATTTTTTACGCTTATATTTTATCTATTTTTTCATGACTTTCATATGGTTTGACTGTCGATATTTTTTTTTTAATTTTCTCATTTGTTCATTATTCGTTCCGGTTGGACTATGATGATGATGATCAGCATCATCATCAACAACAATTACCGCCTTTACATTGATACTCATTTGCTTGTTAATGATCATTTAAAAAAAAATACCGGATTCATAATATCTGTAGTATTTAGCCACAGATTCTAACCAAAATCTTTTTGATCTTTTTTCTATCAAACATCCATAAGAATCGATTAAGCATTAAAACATATCAGGAGTAAAAAAAAGAACAAAAAAAACATGTATAAAGGCGGAATATTTCAGAAATAAAGAATTTTAATGTAAAGAAAAAAACACTACTACATGGGTAACATGATTAATTATAATCAAGACAATGTTATAGAAAACTTTTTATTACTGGTGTTAATCAGAAAAAGAAAAAAAAGAGAAGGAACAAAAAAAAAGAACAGAGAAAATGATCCACATATAAAAGAGAGGATATTATTAACGAAAATTAAAATTCTTATTCAAATACATTAGGTTCATTTTCATTTCATCCAGAATTAATTCAGAATGAAAAAAACGAAGAATTTAATTGGTTGTACCAAAAGGAAAAAAAATTCATTCATTCAATTTCATCACATTTGTGACAAGTTTCATTAAATATCATTGAATAATATGAGACATACATACATTCTTTTTTATTATTTCATTTCTAAGTATGTACGATTTCAAAAACGGTCTATTCCGATAAATGGGCCTAAACTAGGTCAGACATTGGATTTTTTTTTTTCATTGCTGCAATAATAAGTCAATGATGAGAAACTATGATGATGATGATCATCATCATCATGTCGGATGTATAAAGAATTTATTCTTTTGTATATTTAATGTTTCAAACATTCTTATTTATTGTTAATCGCTTGTCATGATACAGAAAAAAAATCAATTGATTGAATTCGATTGAATATTATTAATATAAAAAAAAGAATGATATACACTTACCATCATAGATTAAGGCTGAAATGGTATTGACCATATTGATAAATATCACTAATATCAATGCCAGAATTAATGCTTTTATTGCCATTGTTGATTGTGATGATGATATTGGCGTACTATTGTATGAATCTCGTCGTCGTCTACAATAACAATGTTGAATAATAAGTGATTCTTGTATTATTTTTTTACGAGATTTTCTTTTCGGATAATCAACACCGTATAAAATAGCTGAAGATTTTTTATCAATCGACAATAATGATGATGATGATTTGGATGATGAATCATTTTTAGTAAAGTTTACCATCTTATTATTCTGTATTTTAGCATTATTATTCATAATGATCATCATAAGAGTCTTCGTAATAGTAATATCATTATTATTAATAATACTTGTCATTTTCATTTTCATCATCATAATCATTATCATTATTATTATTATTATTTGATATTAATAACACTCAAAAAGAAAAACGATGACGAAAACAAGAAAAAAAAACTTTATTCTATTCAATTCGTATTCATTTCGTACATTTTCCGCCAAACTTTTTGTTGTTGTTGTTGTTTTTGTTATTGTTGGTTCGTAGCTAACTGAATAGAACTGAATCCATTGAGGATGGATGAAGAAAACCATGAAACCACACACACACACACACATGCACGGCAAACAATAAAGGATGATTGTTAATGATGGCAATAATGATCAATGAAGAATGTGTAGTAAATCAATATAACAACATCAAATGAGAAAAAAAACGAAAAGAAAATACGGATATCAAGAATCGGTCACATGATCATCATGATTATGATGTTGATAATGATGATGATGATGATGACCAAAGCTGGAATTGTTCAACTGGATGGATATTAAAGTTCACTATATAAATGGGAGATAATTGTAAAGGAAAAAGTAAAGAATAAAGTAGAAAAAAAATAAAACGATTTCAATCACAAGTTTTATCAATTTATTGGGAAAAAAGTATCAAATGACAAACAAAAACAAAAGTAAATATAAATAATAGTAATAATAATAATAATAAAGTTTACAAAAAAAAACAATTCAAATGAAATGGAAAGTTTTTAAATGGTTGATGGAAAAAAATGGACAAAATCAGTAAAATGGAATCTAAAATTAAAGGCAAATCAAATGGAATATTCATTCATTTTATTTATGGCCATTTGATGATTATAATGGTCGACACATTTAAAATATTTTTCTTTTCTTTTCTTTTTATTGGTAACAATAAACACATTTTCTTCGTTTGTTAGGACATCATTATTGGCTGAACACGATCGACCGGACAACCTAACAACCAACTATATAAGTGGCCATTAAGTGTGTTACCTAACCATCAAAGAAAACAATAACAAAAAATAAAAGAATCTTGGCCAGACAATAAATGTTACAATAATAATAATAAAATAGAAATAAAAATCTTACCGAAACAAAAATGATAACATGAATTATCTAATAATAATAATGTAAAGACGGTTAACAAGCTTGAATTCATCACGATTTTGATGGGGGTTGAAGGGAAAAAGAAGAAAAAAAATATTGGTCGCTCTTAATAAGGATAATATGATCTTAGTTATATTTTCCTTCATTTTAGTTGATGATGATGATGAAACGACTTTGATTATAGAATTCTCTCGTTTTGTTTTTGTTTTTTAATCTTCACAAGTATATGATGTCAATTATATTCACCATAATAATGATCATGAGATAACTGATCATTTTTTTTGTTTGGTTCTGGTTTTAGTTTCTGCTTCCATCACACAGACAGAAAATAAGCTTTGAACAGGAGGAAAAAAACTTTGAAGAATCTCGAATTACATAAATATAGACAACAACAACAACATCAAACATGAATGATTTTTTTATTCGATAATCATGTTTGATAGAATCTCAAGTGGAATGTTTTTTCTCTTCAACACGACAATAAAGGGGAATCATTCATCTTTTAAAAGAATCAGTTTTGTTTTTACTTTGTTTTTTTGGAAACTCTCATACATTTCATATCTTCTCTTTCTACTAGTGAACTTTTAAAGTGAAATGAACTTGATTATTTTTTTTGAAAAAATAGCGAATAATTATCAATCAATAACGTATAAAATTATCACATAAGTTTTTTTTCGGGTATCATCTAACTATAACATATAATAATTATTATCATTATTTTCATCCGAATATATCGTATTAACATACACTTTAACTACCGATTGAATAATGATATAATAAGTTTTTGTTCACAATGTGAAAATGTGAATTTACATTTTGAAATTTCAAGTCGGTAATAAATGAGTTAACTTAATGTTATTATATCTATTCACAAAAGAATTTCTTTGTTCACTTTTTTTTGTTGAATAGAAAAATTCTGTCAACTAGAGACAACAACGGAAAAAAAACTTTAGCAACAGTTTAAGATATGCATTGAAAATCAAAAATTGTAGATAAAGTTTAGATTAAGAATAGAAAATGTAAGAGATTTTGTTTATTTTTTTTCAAGATGATGTGATATGAATTTGAATGAATGTCGACAGATAAATGACGTTAACAAACAGAACGACAAACATGACAAACATCAACATTATTATCATCATCATCATCATCAAAGTCATGCTGGCTAGGCTCATTCCACATTTAACAAGCTATGGTTGAATGTTAAGATTCCTAAATTTTTTTTTGGAATGGATGAATGAATAAATTGTATTTATGGATCGTTTGGCACAACTGTTTGAGGTTTTCTATGAACAATGAACGTAATAGTCAGTAGTATGTTAGTTGTAAACATAGACACAGACTTGATAGTGAATTCTGTAAAAAATTTACAAATTTTTCCAGATGAATATTCACACAAATATAGGCTAAACATGTATCCTACGGATGATGATAATGTTATGAATAAATCATGACAATAGATGACAATCATAATCTTTAGTGATAATAACTGGTCATTATTTTCTATAAGGGTAGAATGAATTCAATGAATAAATGAACAAAAATTCTCTACGGTCATCATTTTACGTTCCAATTTCATAAAGATGGTCCTGATAAATGGGGAGAAAATTTCCTCTTTCATCATCAACATTATCATCATTTAAACCCCTTTAAAACCATTACACTAAAATAGAATAAATTGCCAGCAGCTAGAAAAAAAATGAAATTCATGTTTCTTAAATCACGGAAAAAATATGGTGAGAAAAAAAATTAATGTTCCGCGAAACGATATATGTTACGTATGGCTAAATGATTTTACAATTTTTTTTAGCAACAAATGAAAAAAAAACTTTTCAACAAAAACATTAACATCATACACATATCGAATTGAAGAATGAGAATGATCGATTTATGCCATTATAGCAAAGGAAGCAAAAAAAAATCAGGATATTTATAAAGAAATTTAAATACACAGGTGAAAAAAATGGAATTTTTTTGAAATAGAAATAATAATAAAATATATGTCCAATATGAAAAATATTTCTACCGGTTCAAAAAATTATACCAAAGTATTTTTTCACTTTCTTTCTCCATATTTTTCTGGGTGAATGCTTCAAAATATAAGTACGAAGAAAAAACAGTAAAATTTAATTCAATTTGATTCCGTTCAATTTGTTTCGACAACAACAAAACAGATGTCTGAAAAAAAATCATTTAAAAAAACGAACACGAATCTATGATCGGCAGAAAAAAAGAAGAATAATATTCTTCAATAAAATTTCATTTTTGTGGTCATTTTATTGTTTTGATAAAATATTTTGATATTCGATACCTGTATCCTTTGATTGTTGATTTTTATTCTTCCAATTAAATTTTTATTGATGAATTATTTTTTTTCCAAAGTTTTCAATTGAATTGACATTTAAAATCAATAATAAATTTCTATCTTTATTTATTTATCATTTGATTGATGATTGGGGATGGTAAATGAGGGATGTGTGTGTGTGTGTGTATGATTGTTAAAAGGAAAACACAATGGCATCACACAATTCAATTAGTATCGATCCAAATTGATCGGATCAATGGTTTGATCGGGATGAAGAAAATACGAATCATCAAATAATATAGAAAATCTTCAATTTAGAACCCAACAAGTCGGTTATTATTTTTATTAAATGCCAACGGGACAATAGCAATTTATATTTATTTATATATATAATTCAATGAGAGTTTAATTCAATTTAATTCAGTTCACTTGATATATATTTCAATCTATATTATTATTATTCTCACTTTTTTTTTATTTTTTCGCGCCTAATATAAAGAAAATGAAATAAAACCATTCACGATATAAACAACAACAATCACAAATCAAACAACCGTTTTGATTTTTTTTTCTTATATTTTTTATTTTACGATTCTAACACTCTAACACTCATCTTTCTTATATCGAGAGTGAAAACTTGAATGTTATTGTCAATGGATAGAGCAAAAAATAACGAAAATGTTAGGAGCAAGGGACCGATTGTCGACATTCAATTTTGATGTGATTTTCCCGTTATTCTTTAAGATTTCATATATTAAACCCGAATATATAATAATATAATGTATTTGCAACGGCTAGACATGGAAATCGACATTGGTAGTTTTTTTTTGTAAAATAAAAGCTAACGAGAACCAAAAAAAAGATTGAATGAATGAACAACAACAACACTAACACCACACACATCTAAGAAATGCCGTCATCAAGCACGCATCAATGGCCAAACGAAAAAAACACCATACACCAAGAATAAGAGAAAAAAAATATATCGTATACATTTTGGAACAAATGAAAAGTTCTTACTTAAATAGAAATCATTTAGAAGAGGAAAAGAAATTTATAATAATAATAATTTTATACAAAAACGAAAAATCGCAAACGAATAGCGCCTATAAAAAAAAGAAACAACGAAAAAAAAGAAATCTAAAACGAATGAATAATAACAGAATAAAACAACATTTATTATATATTGAATGTGGGAAAAGTGAAAACAAAATATCTAATGACAGATGAATTCATTGATTGATAAATGATTCTTGTTTCTTTTCTTATATGGGTGATTGTGTTGTGTTGTTCCTCTTTTTTATTTTATTTTACAGTTCAATTAGTTATGGGCATAGATTGTGAATGCAAGAAAAAAATGAAAATTGAAAATGACAAAACAGTGAGAAAAGATTAATTTGATGTGTTCACACATATCCGAGAAATATAGATGAAAAAAGAGGGGAAAAAGTTTGAAATTCAAACTTTAAATGTAGAATTTATAGTAGGATTTAAATTTCGGGTATGTTATAAAAATGATCAAACAAATAGATTTTTTTTTGTCTTGATTGATCAGTTTTCTACTACTGCCCAAAAATCCGAATCGAAATTGTTTTTGTATTCATAAGTAAAGAAATATGACCAATTTTGATTGAAAAAATTTTTTAGAACGGTCAATGTTTTACGATAGTGGTTGGCAAGAAAAAAAAGTGAAATGATTTATATTTTGAAACAAAACAAATTTTTGTTTTTTTTTCAATTTCTTAGATTCGATGATTTATTATCTAAAAATCTTCCGTTCGATGATGATGATGGTCATTTACTATCGAAAAGAAAGAAAAAAGCTATTCTTCTTCAAAATTCGAATGTTATTGTTGGACTGCAGTAGGAATGAAAAGTAAAAAAAAAAATCAATTTCCATTGAAAATCCATCGTCCATCAATTGAATCGAAATAGAATTCCAACGCCAACAATAACAAAAAAAAAGAAAACAAACAAACAAACAGACTAAAAAATGCATTATGAATGAAAATCGCATCTGGCCAGAATAGACAAAATGAATTTTATTAGGTTCATCATCAGAATTTGAGTTGAACAAAATTGCCAAATAAAAAAATCGGAACCATCGGTTCATAAAGAATCAAATACAAACACACAAAAGATGATTATTATTTAAAATTTTTGCCCATTTTTTCACAGTTGTTGATGATGATTGAGAGAATAAATTTCATAGAAAAAAAATTAAAAGTTATTTAATCAAATCTTAATAGGAAAAGCTGCTTTTTCGGCAACAAAATAAAAAATTCATTATTGAACAAAATTTATAATCAAATATGAACTTTTTTGTTCTTTTGTTGTTGTTCTATTCATCATCAACATACAATATAATCGAATATCATAAGATAAAGAAACAAGAAAAATAAAAAATTTCAAATTTATAATTCACCTTGTCATTTGTTGTTTTTGCTGTTGTTGTCAACTATTGAACATTTTTTTTCACATAAAATAAGAAAAAAAAATAAGAATTTTGATTTTGATCAATGAATTGAACAAAAAAAAAATTCTTCACAAATATTCATATAAATAACATTAATAAAAAAAATTTTTATGAATAAATTTTATTTTTGCAAAATGTCGATGTTTTTTTTGTGTCGGTGTGACCGATCACTTGGTTAGTTACACGATAACTGCCATTTTTCCCGGGATATTCAACCGACCGAAAACCGTATCCATGTTTTGTGATTCTGTTGCCATATTAGTCTTTATACCACACAAATATTATATATTCGCTTGAATTACAGTTCGACCAAACATTATAACCATAGACCCAACAACGATTGCAGGAACCGTATAAATATGCTTCGATATAATGGTTAAAAGGAATGAACCAAAAAAAAAAATTTTTTTCTTTCTCATCTATAGTCGAATAGATGTAGAAGCATATAATGATGCTAATGGATAACATCAAAGTAAAAAACGGATCTAATGTTGTTGCTGCTGCTGGGCCAATTTCGTAACTTTAGTTGAATATATAGTAGTTCTTTTGCCTGATAGATTCTTAATCAATTGTTGGTCCATTTGAATTTTGAAATGTTTTTTACATTTTTCAAATTACATGTCTCTAAGAATCTGTTGAAATGTTTTTTTTTTACTTTTACTATGACATTTTCAATAATATTGCATTATCTATTCCATGAATTCATATTTTCATTTTGCACAATTTTTTCGTAATGAAATTCTCTCACATTCAATCCACATTTTTGTTGTTCTTGTCTAATGGTCATTATATTAATCTGATAATGATGATGATGTACGAAAAATTGAAATCATTTTTTTGGAGAAAGGTAAAAAAACAATGGCAAAACTTATTTTTTTTACCAGTTTATCATGTGTAATACAATAACAAACACGCAATAATGGAACAGTAAAAAAAACTCGACAGTGATGATAATTAGGTATTTCCCTCTCTCTCTTTCTTTCCCATAGTTGATGCTAATTATTATTGAAAGTGCACTTTTTACTAAAAGTTGTTGTAGAATTTGTTGTAGATTTGTTCCGTTTTTCTTTTTCAAATTTATTCATAATATAATCAATTCATTTAACGGTAGCGTATTACATTTAGTCTTCTGTATTTATAATATAAAAAAATGACATCATCATAATTGTCATATCCTTTATCGTGATTTGTGTGTGTGTGTGTGTTTTGTTATGTCTGTGTTTTTATATTAATATACTTACTATTATTTGGAAAATGTACAGAAATAATTTATCTAATTTATATTTAACTGGATTCATTTCATTATTATTACTAAAGTTTTCTTCATTTGCTTCATTATTATTCGTTGAACGAAAATAAAAGACAACAACAACAACAACAAAACTAAATTCATTTCCATTTTCCAATTCTTGACAATAGAAATTGTTGTATACAGAAATTATATTTCATTTTTTAGTGTGTGTGTGTGTGTGTGTGTGTGTGAGAATTTAGCATGATTCTTTCTTTCCATTATTTGATTCGTATCAAATTCAAGTAGGCAAAAAAAATCAGTTGAAAAAAATATCATCATTTCTGTCTAAATATATGTATCTCTGTGTTAGTGTGTGTGTGTTTGTCATTTGAATTACATAAATTTCTATTTTTTTTATCTTTTGTGGTTATTTTTTTTTATCACTGTATAGATTTTTTTTATGACAATTTTTTTCTGTGATATGATTGTATTCAATGTAAACTCTAACCTATTATAATAGCAATTTTTTCATTCATTTCTTTTGTTCTTTGTAAAAACATCCATAATGTTTTTTGTTGTTGTTGTTGTGTAGAAACATCCAATCAAATCGATAATTTGTACGGAACTAATAATGTATACTGTTGTTGATAAACAATTGTATACATGTCAAATTCATACCTGGATTTTTTTCTGTTTCCATTCTTGTCGCATTCATATTGTTTTGTTTTTTTTCTCGCTGTCATTGTCACCTAATAACAACCGAAAAACTAAAACATTACATTTTAGATGTCATTCAAATCATATGCACATGTGAAGAAAACGATCCATTCAATTCCGACATTTTTTTTTGTTTGGTCTGGTCTTTTTTATTTTGTCTAACGATGAATTTCTCACTGCGATGAAATGCAATTATGAACTTAGATGTGCAAAAAACATTGTGTGATTTAAATAATAATTTTCAATGTGAAATTTTTATTTTTATTTTCAAATTCTCTATTTTAAAAATGGAAAAAAAAGATGAGAGGATTTCGAACAATACGTACATTATGAATGTAAATTCATAAATGCCGAATGTCTGCGTGAATAAATATGTTGACATAAAGACAATAATTCAATATTCTTAATGAATTTGAGTAAAAAAATGTACTTCTAAATTACAAAAAAAGTATTTTATAGATTAGATTATAACATAATTTATTGCTAAACTCAAATTTCGAAAAATGAATGTTGATAACAATTCTGATCCGAATGAGGTACGTTTTGTTGTCTATCAATTTTTAATCATTTAATTTATTTAAAATTTTTAATTTCCATAGTCATTGGAAGCACCTGAAGATGATGATTTTGGAGATTTTGAAGGAGCTGAAGATGAAGCTCCTGAAGCCGTACAAGCAATGATTGGTGGTCCTAATTGGGTGTATCCCGGTTGGTTTCTTTTCATTCATATATTTTTCAATGTTAAAATAATTAATTTCTCATATAGATCTTGTAAGAATACAATCGACGAACAACAATACTCAAAACGATATGAACAATCATGAACTTAATAATTTAAACAATCAAAATCGTCAAAACTCTCATCGAATATTGGATCCTCCGGATGTTTCTTTACTCACAAATATTTCAAATTCTCATTGCTCGAAACCACAGCAAACATTAGATCTTTGCAGCTCCTTAGGTTCATCTTCGGCTATTGCTTCTAAATTGATATTTAATAGTGGGAATAATTATACATCTCCAAGCAAATGCTGTGCCGGTCCAACCAGTGTATCATCACCGTCATCCGGATCATCATCATCATCAATGGCTGTTACAAATATATCTGGCTTGGTTCTAAGTAATTCATCAAATTCATCGTCTCCAAGCTTGCCCCACAATAATAAAAATAACAGCCTAAATAATCCTATTCCATCCACATCTAATGGTATAATTTCATCTTCCACTGTGTTTAGTATGAATCAACAGCTGTCACAAATGGAACAACGAATCCGTTCGCTTCAGACAGAGAAACGTTTACTACAAGAACAGCTTTGCGAACGCGATAATCGAATCAACGATTTGCAAAGAATTGCTCACCATCAACAGCATCAAACATGTGTGGAACCGAATAGCAACGTAAGATCATTGGAAGAAACGATTGGTCGTCGTATCGATTCTGCAGTCGAACGTATTGAAAGCAATTTAGAATCATCCATGGCCGATATAGTAAATCGTGTTGAACGATTGGAAAGAAAAGTGGATAAAAACATCTCTTCTGGATCGTTGACTAATGGTATGGTTATTGATAATGGTAATGGAGAATTATTACATCATGAATCATGTCTTCAATTGTTTCAACAGTTGAAACAAGAACAACAACAAGAACGACAAGAATATATGAAAACATTGTCGAACATTCTATCTCATGCATTACATGAGCTGAACAATACATTCAAACCTTGAATTATCGTTTTGTTTCAAAGAAAAAATTATTTTAATTGTAAATATTTTTTTGTACATCATTCTTTGATCACGTTTTTTCATAAAATATTAATTTGTATATTGTTTTTAATGGCAAAAAAATCGAATAAATATATCAGGTCATTTACCAATCGACCTCAAAAGATTCACTTGATTTTGAACTATGATTCGAATGATTAGAGACGGCAGAATTATTCTTAGCAATCATGATCATTCCATTGGAATTCGAATTGGTTTTCGGTTCCCCGCCACCATTTATCCTATTATTATTGGTATCATTTTCAAGTTTAGCGGACACATTGGCCATAGCAAGGTGAGAAGATTGAGTGATATTTTGAAATTTTAATGGTGATGAATAAATTGAATCGGATTGCTCAACATTTTTCATCGTTTTTTCTGGAGACTGAGAAACGTCAGTGGTAATCGAATCAATTTTGTTTAATCTTGATGAAGAAGTTTCTAATTCGGTTGCGAGGAGCAATTCTTCATAAAGGGTTCGATGTACTGATGGTGAGGGTTGATGGTGGTTTTGATCAGGTCGATTGAATGAAGCATTTTCCGGTGGGTTAAAATGATTTTCAAGTTGATTTTGATGAACCTCATTCAAATGATCATCATTCTCATCTTTATTGTCATCTACTATAGGTGAAAGGTCAGGTAATTTATTATAAGACATTTTTTCATAGATTTTGTCGACAATTTTACGAACAAATTCATCCGAAGATGAATGTCCTAGTTTTTTTGGTGAAGTATCCTCGTTCTCATTGTCAACTTTTTCCGTTTCAAATGATTTATAAAATGTTGTTGATTGTTCGTGTTGTTTTTCATCATTTTCTGCTTTACTAGATGATGAAAAACGGTCTGCTACCTCTTCTGCTTCTTCATCATGAAGAAAACGAATATCGCCACTTCTGTGAAGTATTCCGTATTTGCTATGATTATTATCATATTCAAGATCATTGTCATCATCGTTGCATAATCTACATCCTCGAATATGGGAATATCGATTCTGAGGTTTATGAAATCCATCCATTGAAATTGATCGTTGATGATTATATGAAGAACGATGATGATTCAATGCAGCAGAGGTGGTTGGAGCCTGATATAATGAATGTCCTCGATGGTGGCTAATTTGATGCTGATGATTAGTGCCATCTGAAAATGATACAGATGGCCGAAATTGATTTAAAGTTTGTGTCGTACTAGAAAAATCGTAGTTTCTGGAAAATTAATGAAAAGTCAGCAAATAACTAAACTATTCTGATGAATACTCACAATTTGGCCAGATGATCTTTAATGAATGCTTTTAATCGTTTAACTTGACCGCTTGCTGCTTCATATTTTGAGGTGGCTTCTTCCTGATCAGCTTGAAATTTTTGCTTAAGTAACACCACTTCTTGTTCTGCTTTACGTAGATCTCGTTTTAAAGACATAATTTTTTGATCATTAGAACGTTGTTCTCGTTCCCACCGTTCTCGATCGCGTTCTAGTTCTTGATTTTTACTTTCTAAACTTTCTTTAAGAATTTGCAATTCATTTTTAGATGCTCGATTCTCAAATTTAGTAATCTGATAATCTTCCATACTATCGACTTTTTCTTTAAGCACTTCATTTTCCTTTTTTGTTATCTCCAATTCTTTTCTATATTTAGCTAATTCCATATCACTCATACGTTTGCTATCAATTTTTTCTTTGACTATCTTCACTTGTTCATGTAATCGAGCTTCAACTTCTTTTACTCGTTCTTCTTTTTTGATCAGATTACTTTTATCAATCTCAAGCTCGTTGAATTTTTTCCTTAATTTTTCAATTTCAAATTTCATCTCTGCTTTGATTCGTTCACCGACGATTTCATTGATCATTTGTTCACGTCGCATCAATTCATTAGTTTTCTGATTGACATCTTCCAGACGTGATTTTAGCTCTTCTTCACCTAGCCGTAATTTTCGTTCACGGGCATCCAATTCGATACGTAATTGTTTATCCCAATCTTCTAATTTTCTTTGATCACTTTGAAGTTTTTCTCGTTGTCTTTCTAGTTCTCTTTTCTGTAATTCTTTTTCGATTTCAAATTCATAACGAATTTGTCGTTCCCAATTCGCTATTGATGATATTCGATCCATGGATCGATGAAACAATGGTTTCATTCCTTGATTATCATTATCACCTGGAATTTGATCGTCGTCACCTTCATGACATTCGGTTTCATCGTCGCTATAACATTTTTCTGGTTTATTATTCAACTTTGTACTACTTTTCGAATGAATAATTCCATTTGCGATTTGCTTATGTCGAGTGGCTATGGCAGATTTCGGACGAATCAATCGTTTTTTTGTGACAGGATTCTTTCGAAAATGTTTACCAATACTACTATCATTATTTAATGTTGGCGTCATTTGATCGATTTTAGCTACAATCGGATTTGTTATTTCTGTATCTTGTTGTTCGAATTCATTGGTTTTTAACCGAACAAAATCATCTACTAGTTCACGACTCATTTTCATATAACGTGCTAATGATGTGGTACGGAATGTAATGGCATGCTGATGATGTTCATTGAAATTACGAAGTGATTGTAAAAATTCACGATCGTTATGATGATAAATTGATGTTGGTCGATCTTCAATGTTTGCACTTTGTGTGGAAAAAGAATTTAAATTTAGTAATGAGGAGTATCTTTTAGGCTTTCGTTTAGTAGTTGTATATGGATTTATTTTTTTAGATTGATTATCATTTGAATTTTGATTTCTTTGTTGAGCAGAAGAATTTTGTTTGGCACTTTTAGTCGCAGATTTGTTTGTCAATTTTCGCGTATTCCAAATATGACCAAAAAGTGGATTACGAATGTTTGGTCTAGCAATCGGTGGCGGCATAGATTTTCGATCCATACTATTATTTTAAAAACAATCTCAATTAACAATTTAAAACAAATAAATTTCAATCAATCCTTACTTTGTCAAAAATTAGCCACATTTATTGCACATGTTAAATGAGACATTCCATTGATGAATAATGAAACAAATAATGATTATCAATCTAATTTTTTTGAAAAAAAACTTGAAATGCAAGAACATACCGAGCTATATAGTGTGTATACGAATTCTCATTGCTGATTCATTCGAATAAATGTAACCAATGGCAACCAAAAAACTCTGCCATCCAATCTGGGAATAGTTAATTTGAAATCTTCGAATCTGAATTTTAAGAAAAATATTTATCACAATTTAAATTTGTACAATGAATTTCTTATGAAAATTCTGAAAAAAGCGGCGATGTTTTCTACGATTATGGCACAAAATTATTTTAAAGTATTTTAATGAAAAATCACTAAAAACTTTTAGAAACTGTAAAACTATTATCCCGAAAACAACATTCTTTGACGTTGCCTATCCCTAGTTGTCATTTATATTGTCCAAAAAACCGATGGCCGAGACCAAAGATTCAGGAATAAATTCAACAGGTAGACAGAAGAAAACCTGAAAACGAGCGGCCACTACAACTACCACGACAACGACCACTAATTTGATTGTTGCTCATAATAATAAAAAGCCAATGGCGACGATGAACAATCTATCGTCGTCGTATCAAAATCTTGTATTTGTGTTCTGTATATATACTTTCTGAGTTTTTTCGAGACTAGTTTCTTGGCATATTTTTCTTATGACGTTCAATGTCATTGTCTTATACAGACAGCCATTTCATTTGTTGATCAATCACTGAAAAATGGAAAAATAACATGGAGATCACAATAAAATTTTAGACATAAAAAACATCATTCTATTTTCTTGGAAATAATTGGACAAAAGAATCGTAGAAATAGGAATATCGTTAATATCTCTTATTTGTAATTTTGGTTAATATATCCTTTTAAAAGATCATTACGCATCAAGTTTTTTAAAAAAAATTTCACTAACCAAATTAAGTTTTGATATAAATGGAAAAAGACTGAAAATATTAATGAATTTTATTGTAACAAGTATTTATAGATGGTAAGACAAAGAAAGCAATTAAATGGCCAAAAATATGGAGAATTTCTTCATCCGTTCAAGATCACGCCATCTCTGAACGAAACTCAACATGTTTTCTTAAACATGTGACTCTTCATGTGTTTTAATTTTTTTTCCGAATTTATTTTTTTCATCTTGCAAACAAACATCATCATGGAAAAAAGTGATAGTTTGGAATTTTTTTGCGATCAAATGTTACACCGATATTATGATCTGTTAATTGATCATCAATCAGTTGGCCAATCTACGATGCCCATGACGTATATTCATTTTAAGGATGAATTAATTTGGTTGGAAATTCTCAGAAATCTTGAAATTCGTCAAGCTTTAACATCAATGTTCCGTAAAGATGAAGAAAGTTTTGACAACATTAAAGGACCCAAAAATTTGGATGATAGAGTCGGAAAGCTTTTGGTCGGAGCCATATCATGTTTGCAGCTTTATGTCATAGATAATTTTTTATTTCATATTGATCGAAGTCAAAAAAAATCTTACGATGATTGTTTAGAGTTTGTCAAAGATTTTTTCACTCTAGACGACGAAAACTGTGACATTCATTGCATCGAATATTCACTTGATATTGATGGTGAAACTATTTCTCCTTCGGCAAGAAACATTGAATTATTGAAACTTTCTCGACTTGTTTTTGAATTTTTGAATCAGAAATTTAATACCTTTTTTCAAAATCGCCCAGATGAACAATTTTATTTCATTTTATGGTCGATGCGTTCCGCCATTATTCATCAATCTTCACTTTCTTCATCGACTGGAACGCTTTATGATGAAATTCTTGATTATACCAAGCGATTGGAATCGATTCTCGCATCAAATGACAAGATAAGCAATTCATTCAAAATGAACTTGTTCACCGAAATCGTTAATATATTCACAATTTTCGGCGATCAAGAAAATTCAAAAAAATACATGACTTTAGCTAAAAATCATTCGGATGTTTTGTTCGATTTAATTGGTCGACTTGGATTACGAACTCAATTTCAAACAAAACCCGTTTCACAGTTGATGGTCAATCTCAAACGATTGTCAGAAGAACCCGACGAAAAAATAAAAAATAATGAAGTCAAAATTACGATAACTATGCCGTTCAATGAACCTTCGGAGGATAATACGCTTTTCCAAGAAGTGAAATTTATTGACGAAGAAAAATCCGATTCGAATCAAATCGTCAAGCTCAAACCTATTGAACAATCGTTAATGGTCACCTGGATTAAATTTCAGCAGCGTTTTGGATCGGCTACTGATGAACTTTTGCGTGAAGAATTATTAACATACATTTATTTTCTTTTACAACATTGTGATCATTGGATTTTGCAGTTTATTCTGTTGGAAATGCGAAGTCTTCAGGAACGTTTAATACGCCGACGTGTGGAACGTTCATTGAAACAGTTTCAAACCCTTTTTGAAACTATACGTTATTCAAATAAAAAGTTTTTCGCAGAACAAGCATTCCAACGAATCAGATATTTTTATTCGGTGCTTTCTAATCCATTCTGGAAAATCGAAAAACAATATGCTGATCTATTGTTTGTTCTGGGTGTCTATAAATCTGCTTTGGATGTCTATCTTCGCCTGCAACAATGGCGTGAAATAATCGAATGCTACAGGAGAATTGGCTTGCTACACAAAGCCGAGGAAATAATTCGTGAAAAATTGACCGAAAATGATAATCAACCTGATATGCATTGCTTATTGGGCGAAATAACTGGCGATCTTGATTGTTTTCATTATTCCTGGAAAATATCTAATCATCAATATGCGCGAGCACCAAAAATGCTTGGTCTACATTATTTTGATGTCAAAGATTATGAACATGCTTTGGAATATTTCCGAAAGTCAATCGATGTTAATTCAATGCAAGTCGATGTTTGGTATCGTATGGGTTACATTGGTTTGATACAAGAAGATTGGAATCTTTCGGTCATGGCCTATAGAAAAGTGCTGCAATTCGATACTGATTCATTCGAAGCATGGAATAATCTGTCAAAAGCTTATATTAAACTTGGAGATAAAGAACGGGCAATGAAAACATTACAAGAAGCCCTTAAATGTGATTTTGAACAATGGAAAATTTGGGAAAATTATATCGCCGTTTGTGCCGATCTTGGTGAAGTTTGGGAAATTATTCAATCATGGCATCGATTGATAGACATCAAAAAAACGTATCTAGATGATCAAGTAGCTGATATACTCGTCAAATGTCTTCAAGAACATTCGGATGATCAACGATTAATTTCAAAATCCATAGAGCTATTCGGTCGTATAACGAGTACATCTCCTGGAACAGCAAAAACCTGGAATCTATATGCCCGATTGTTAATTATGGCCAATCGTGACCGAGATGATGTGGCCAAAATCGAACAATGTTTGCAAAAATCTCAACGTCAAATATTGATGGATGGCTGGGAAAAAAATGTCTATAAGATGATTGAAGTTTTGAACCATTTCGAAGATCTAGCCGTTGATATTTTCGAATTTATAAAAAAGCATCCACAAACATTGCCCACAACTTTAGGTTCATTCCGACTATCGCTGAATTCTATTCTGGGACAAGTGAACAAAACAAAGTCTAATCTAGCTATTACAGAACCCGCAATATTGGAAAAATTGAATGCAAAAATTGATGTAATCTCACAGATACAGAATCAAGTTATAGACATTTTAAAAAAATGAACCAAAATTAATGCTATTTTTTGTTGATTTTATTTTTTTCATAATTGAATTTTTCAATAATAATTACATTTCGATTATTTTATCGAATTTATCCATTTTAAATCTAAAATTGCTTAATTTGATAACAATTACAAAGCGGCAGCACCTGAAATAATTTCAATCAACTCCTTGGTGATAACAGCTTGACGTGTTCGATTGAATGTCAAGGTAAGCTTCTGAATCATTTCGCCGGCATTCTTGGATGCACTGTCCATAGCAGTCATACGGGATGATTGTTCACTACAGGCATTCTCTTTCATTGCAAAGAAAATCAAACTGGCCAATGAATATTCATAATAAGAACGGATGACATCTTCATCCAAACTATCGTATACGCTAATCTTAGGCGACAAATTGATAGCACCTCGACTAAACACAGGAATCTCAGTGGTATTGTAAGAGACGACAGTTTTGAATTGATTGTAGATGATTATACCACGGTCAAATTCGAAGTTTGAGTTCAATATTTGCGAGGCAACTTCTCGAGCATCTCCAAATTGGGGTGGTTTTTTACCGAAATCGTTGAACATCATCAAAATATTGTTTGCAAATTGTCGTGCCAACATAAGTTTAGCTTTGTCACCAACACAGACAATTTGGATTTTGTCTGCGTCCGATTCATGAGCCATAATATGTCGTACTTTTTTAGCAACTGACGAATGAACAGCGCCACAAAGGCCACGATCAGATGTGATGGCAACGATCAGAGTACCAGGTTTTGTTTTTTCTTTGTCTTCTTCGGTAACCAAATCACTTTGTTCATAAAATTGAAGGGCACCTGATCCGAAAACTCGAGCATTTTTCAAATCTCGTTCAGCTCGGGCATATTTGGCAGCAGACACCATCTTCATGGATTGTGTAATTTTACGAATGTTGGTAACAGATTTGAGACGGACGCGAATATCTTTAAGCGTGGCCATACCACGGCATTGATTGGTCGTACTGGCCAATGACACCAAAATTGGAGCCGCATTATTAAGCGATGAACGAAGTGCAAGCATGTTGAACCAACTTATCTATAAAAAATGAAATTAATGGGAAAAAATTAAAAATCGATGAGAGACAGAAAAATATTACAATTTTATGGCCAGAAAAAAACCAATTATTGAAAAACCGAATTAGATAAAATAGTCGAATAGGTTACATCGAAAATGTGGCGACAGCTGAAGGTGAAAAACTCATTTTCAATTTCTACCTAGATGGACTTGATATGTATAAATTGAATTATATAATTCGCATAAATAACGCAAGATGGCTCTATAGATATGATTCGAATTTTTTTTTTAAATTATGAAAGTTTTCCCATATAATGATGGAAAAAGGAAATATATAGCATTGATTTTGTCTTTGCTACTACAATTTTTGGCGTTTGACGAACATGATGATTCTAACTGACAAAGTTTACATAGAATAGTGTTACAGAAAAAAAGGAATGAAAATTCATTGACCAGAATTTGTTCCATTCAGTTAAATAAGTAAAGCCAGTCAGTCATTCCATTTTCATTTATGTCAGTATCCTTTGAATGAACGGAAGGTTCGTAGGTTATTCGCGTTTTTTTGTTGTTGTTTGGTGCAATGTGTTGACGCCTGACGGACTAGGCCATTAGGGCGAATTGGGTATATGGGTTTGTTTTGTTTTGTTATGTTTTGATTCAAACAAATGTGCCTAATCCCATTATCATCAACATAAACATCATCAATTGGTAAGTTTATTTTTTTATCTGTTTAAAGGTATAATTTATCAATTCAAATTTGTAATTTCATATTCATTCATATTTATTTGATGTGTTTATGAAGAAATTATTTCCCTGTGTAGTAGATTCGGAACATTTCATCTTTTTTCTTATATTTGTTGGATATCCAACACTTTTCTAACAAAACAAAAATATTCCCTTTTTTATCATCTACCCTTTTAATCATATGCATGAAATTAAAATCGAATGATGTGAATGAGAAAAAATACTATCTTGATTCTGAAAAGAATGATTACTGAAAATGATGAGAAGAAAAGAAAGATGGATTTTTGTTGTTGTTGTTGTTGTTGTTGTCCACTACAACATTCATGTTATTGTCATTTTTATTTTCGGATAATTTTCGTATAATAAGTTAAATGCTATAGTGAACAAAGTGATTTCCTATGCATGGATGAATTCATCAGAAAATAAATATAATGTAATGATCATGATCAACTAAACTATCACCACGACCAGGTTTCAAAATAAAAATAACTTGATTGACTGTTCAAGAACAAAGAAGAAGAAAAAAAATCACACTCGCTCTCAATAAATTCCTAGCCATCGACATGATCATGATCATGAACAGCATCTCTGATAGTAGCAGCAGCGGCTTCAGAATTGGTGTGAATAAAAATGACTTGAGACAATTTTATGTAATTTTTTTTAATAATAAAAAAATTCACATAGAAAAAAGAAGGCAAAAAGAGAATGACTGAATGAAACGCGAAAGCTAAAATGTTATCTTCTTTCCTATCCTCCATTCATTGAAAAATGGACGAAATCAACACGATGTTATTGCATACATAAACACACACAACATTCCATTCAATACATTTGAATTCGGATACCATCGAAAAAACAGCTTGTGTGTATGCATGTCTGATAATTGTTGCCATGATAAAAAACCTGCCCCTTGTTGTTGTTCAACAAAAACTTGTTGGACGCAGACGATCATAACAACAACAACAACAACAGCAGACTTCATATTGGAACAACGAATGATGATCATATCAAGTTTTGAGTTTTTTCGTGAATGTTTCTCTCCCTTTTCGAATGCATGCATTGCTTTTATGTTATTGTGGATATTTTTTGTTTTGTTTTTGAGTGAATGAGATTGCCATGGCCAGAATTATCATTATTTCCATCTGTTCAATTATTGTGTGTGTGTGTCTGTGTCTGTTTGTGTTTTGATTACCCCTTGTGATTTTGATAATTCATGCTGAAGTCATTGATTTTTCTTTACACTATTGTGTGATCGGGTTAAACGTTTTAAAAACGTTCCGAAAATAGAATTCACAAATTTAGTGTATATTCAAAATTTCAATGTAATTTATTGAATTTGATTGATCATCGAATCATTCCTATTCAACATCGACTGCGTGATTTTCATTTTTAAATAATTTCTTTTTATATACCTATTCAATGAACTTTGATATATTGATGGTTTTTCCCAAACATTGATCACCAAAATAAAAAAAAATGTTTTTTTTTTTAAATGAAAAACGATGTATCTGATTGATAGATATCATCGACAAAAGATTAAATCTTAACCTTTTTCTTTGTTGACAAACATAAATGATAATAATGGTGAGTTTGTATCTTTCTTCTTATATATTTCTTCTCATTTGTTATATCATACTATAAAAATGTAATAATATATGATGATTTCTATTTTCTGATTAATTGTTTATCATGTGTCAATCAATTGTACGATTTTGATTGAAAACACTTTTTTTAAATCATCAATAATGGTTAAGATTTTTAGTAGCAATAAAAAAATTAATTAAAATTTTAATCAAAGTTCATAAACATCGATTTCTTTGGGTTTTTTTCATCAATTTTTATTTTAGTTACGCAATTCAGTTTATCATTTATTGATCATAAGATATATCAATTCGAAAAAAAACAGATTCATATCGATATCAATGACATGTTAATCAATAACAATTATAATAATAGATGATGATCATTGCTATGAAGGTGAGAATTTGTCGTTAGAAATTGCACACAATTGATTGAATCTAGAATGAAATTTATTCTGATTTTTGTGATTAGGAAGCTAAAGAATGAAATGAACACACAATATAATATCGATGTATTCAAAATCTAATCGATTAGTTTATTATTTATGTGATCCCTTTTCTAATTTTTTTTTATTATCTATTCATTTATTTTATCCATTCATCAAAATTTTGTTCATACAATTCATTCAAGATTTATTATCATGTTTAATGTTATCGTTGTTAAATTATGATTGAAAACTAAAAATGAAATGAATGACAACATCATTAACATAATCGTTGGATTTTGAATCGTTCAACCAAAGCAGACAATACCGATAGATCATACTTGCAACCACATACCATATGTAATATTGTGATTCTATCCACCATTTTTTTTCTTTGCATTTTACATGCATTTTTTGTTTTCTTGAATGAAATCAAAAAACAAGTCGTCGATCTGTCAACAGCAGCAACATTTGCTCGCCAAAGAAAAGTTGAACAACAATAGAAACAATAAAATGGCAACACAAACGATTGCATTATCGACATCATCATCACAAACAAAAATAACTAATCCTAGCCATCGTAATCATAGTATAGCTGTTCCAGTTCCGTCACAAACAAATCAACAACGAAACGATAACAGTAGCAGCAGTAATAGTAGCACTGCTAGTACTAGTCCAATTACCTCAACAACAGGAAGTCCGTTAACTCACCCATCATCATCCAATAAACAGCAACAAAATTCTTTAGTGAATGATAATATGGTACCCAATATGGTCATCGATTCTCCTATTCATCATCAACATAGTAATAGTAGTTGCAGTAATGGTCATCAAACGAATCGTTTAAATCATCATCGACGTAGTCATAGTCAAATTATCATCGCTTCAACAAATAGTCAATCGTTGAATAATGGTTCAACAACAGAGATCTCAAAAATTAGACTAAATGGTAAGATCAACAATTTTTTTTCGATTAACAATCGATAATGATGCAAGATAGGCTATCTTATCATACATGCGAAACTTTTTTTTTATGATAATTACCACTTTAAAATGAAATTCTATGCATTCAACAAATTAGTTTTGGTAATTGGCGCCATGAATAGTTTTCGTTTTTTTGCTGAATATTTCCTAGCTAGTAGTTAAATACTATATCCGAGGAAATTGATATTAAATGTACTGAAAGCATGCCAACGCATGAATGATTATTGTATGAATAATTTTTGAATCATAATTGAAAATCAACGATTCATATAAATTCGGATAAATTACGGAAGTAATTGTCGCCTATATCGACCAAAAAATAAATTGACCGATAAATAATAATGCTGTATGCGATAAATTGAATTCTAATTGATTAATTATAAAGATCATATCCATTATTTTCAATGACTAATGTTGTTCTTTTTTCTTTTGTTTTATTTATTTTTGAATTGTCAATTGAACAGTGTTTTGTGCCAAAAATCTGGTCAAAAGAGACTTTTTCAGTAAGTATACTACTTTAATTCATTATTGATCGATGTTTTTATCTTTTTTTTTATCATAATTTTTAATTTTTTTTATCCGGAATCAATTTTCGTGCATTCAGAACATAATTACCATATTTTCTTCACTAAATTTTACTATTCCAATAAATTAGATTCCAAAAAATTTATTTATTCAAATGAATTCCCAAAATTTCGTGGCTGTTTTTGGAATAATCTTATGATTATAAATGGTTTTGATAAAATTTTTTTTTTGTTGATTACATGTTTTAGTACTGAATAAAAATGATAAATTATGATTATTGCAGTAGCGAGAATTTCCTAAAGAATTATGATCAAGTCTATTATAACAGAATTCTTTTCATTCGATGTTTTTTTTTTTGAAAATTGACTCAGTAAAAAACAGGAGAACGTTATCTTTTATTTTTTTTCACCAGAAAGTTGCCATTAATCTATTAGTTGTTATCATCGAATGAGATATTTAGAGAAAATTTATTTTCATTTGAATTATGTCAAAAATAGAAAAAAAGGGTATTGTTCAGCCATTCATATTGGTTTGTGTACATTGCATAAGTCTATAAAAGAATAAAACAATAATTTTTTGTTGAACCGGAACTATTTTCTCTTTTAAAAAAATACGAAAAAAAGTTCATCAATGTTCATAATGTTCACAATTATCATTAAAACAATTGATTATTATCATCATCATCATAATCGATGTTCGAAGTTTATTGAATTTCATTCGGATGGAGAGTGATGATTAGAATTATACCAATAATACGATATTTGTTCAAAACTCGACCATCCGAAAATGTCTTATTTAACGATGACTGCTGCTGCATTGATTAACGATAGTTCTGTCGAATGATTGCTGAAATGTTATTGTTAACCAAGATACCAATGTTGTACTCGATTGTCATCATTTAGGAGACAATTTATTTTATTGTTCAAATCTATTTCTTTGACTTTATGATGATGGAAAAAACATCATCATCATGATGTAAATAACTGAAAAAGCAATAGTAACCGAAACAATTTGACTTTTTCAACAGTTTTCATATAGATTTGTTTCAATTTTTATTTTTCGCATAGATTTAGTCTAAGTTAAGATAAATGCTCTCAAAATCTTTGCAAGTTTTATTTGTTCAAACACAAATAATAATACACATTCATATGAAATTTATTTGAATTATCAAAGTAATTTTTCAAACAACGAATTGGTTAGTTGACTTTCATCATCATCATCAATAATAATAAACCATACAATTTTCGAATTTAAATTTCAAGATTTTTGTATTTTCCCCATTTCCAATCCAGTCAAACCAATATTTGATTGCATTGCAATCATTATTATTGTTATTATTATGATGTTGTTGATGTTTGAACGATTTATTGTTGTTTCATACTTTTCAATTGCAAAAAAAAAGAAATGAATTTCGTATACAAAAATTATATGAAATCAATAATAAATGAAATTTTACTTTTGATCAAGCAGGTTTAGTTCGCAGTAAAAAATATTAATTATTTTTTTAAACAAATTTTTTTTCGAGATTGTTATCCAAAGAAATAATATATATTTTTTTGTTGTTGTTGAAAATATAACAATTTCTGATTCTTTATTGTTAAAGTCGTTGATGTTTTTATTTTATTTTTTCATTTAATAAATATCATCAAAAAGATTCGAATAAAATTATGATGATGATCATCATCATTATATATCACATTCATATATTTTTTTCAAATAGATGTCATCATCCGAACATCTATTATCTCTCTCTTCGAACTTAGGTAATGACGATCATCAACGAAAACGAATAAAATGAAATGAAAATGTGTTGCCCTTTTTAATCTTCATTTTCTATATGAAAAAAAAATTCTTTTCTTGTTTATTATCCTCAATTTTTGTCGACCATTTCCGAGTAATCCATTCCTAATGTGATTAAAGCAGGTTCTCAGGGAAATGGGAGATGAATTTTTTTTTTGTTCGCTCGATAATTTCAATGCCATTTTCACGATGCTAATGGAGGCTTCTATCGTTTCTTTCAATTTTTTTTTTCGGTCACATGTCATGGATTTTTTTTCATTCATTTGTAGTTTTTATTGTTCGCTTCACTGATCACAGTATTTTTATTTATAAAATGATAATGGCCTATGCCTTCACCATCTGCTATTTCATTTGAATTTAATGATAATCTTTTGATGCAATAGAACAATTCTTGAATTGTATTTCTGGATAATAGTAATGATAAAAATAATGATAATAATTATAACATTTGTCATTGAAATTCATTGTTTGTATCGTTTCATAGGTCTACCGGATCCATTCTGTAAAATTACTGTAGATTCTTGCCCATCAAATGCAATCACCGGTAATCAATGTCATACAACTGATATATGTAAAGATACTCTTAGTCCAAAATGGAATAAAAATTATGATCTGTATGTATTTTAATTAAAAATTTCGATAAATATTTTCTCATTAATTTTTTCCTATAATAGATATTTAACAAAAAATGATTCTCTAACAATATCCATATGGAATCAGAAGAAAATACATAAAAAACATGGTGCCGGTTTTCTTGGCTGTGTTAAAATTATGCCAAATCTTATACAAAGTTTAAAGGATGCTGGATGTAAGTATGAATTTATGAATATTTTTTATATTGCTTGGTTAGCATCGGATTTATTCGAACAAAATCATTAATGTTTGGGGGTTTTTTCTTTTTGTTTTCTCAATCAACCAGCGGTAGTCCGTAATAAGTTGTATGAGATAACATTTCTGTTATTAATTGATATCGAATATTATTTTCAATGCATGTTTGTTATTGTTTCTCTGCACGAAATCCGATTGGTTATGTCGCCACACCTGTTGAATTTTTTTTCAGTTTTCTATGAAAATTGTCTTGATAGAAAAGTATTTATGTACAAAAAAATAAAAATATCAGCATCAAGATGTTAATTTAGTTGTCGAACTGAACTTCTGTTTAAACAAATGTTTCGTATTTGTGTGTGCTTTTATTTTTCAGATTTCTTGATTGATTAAAATTGATGTGTTAAGTTTCATCTGGAATTTTAATTCGCTTGTCACCCACGTTGTTATCATTTTTTGTTGTTGTTGTCGTTGACACGTTCATTCTTTATTAATTAGAGAAATACATCCATTGTCCTTTATTTCACATTTTATTTGAAAATGATGATTGTCCTTTGTAAAGATAATTTTCTTAATGAAATTTAATCGGCGTATTGGTCACGTCTTTGTACATTCTTAGCGCAAGTTTATTATGATGACTGTGATAATATTTATCAATTCATCCGGTTTGAGCCGACAAAACCTGGTTGATTGTTTGTCACTAATTATAATTAAAATATAGATTCGCTATTGAAATTTTTATCTTATTCATTCAATTTAAATTGTTTGCCTGTTTGATCTGGTTTCCATTTTACAGCATGAAAAATAAATCATCTCATAATATTAACAAAGTTTGGCTTGAACTAGATTTTCTGTTTATGAGATAACTGTATATTTATCTCACTTATTTTGTTTTATGATTATCATTCACCATACACCGCCTACAATATCACACAAAAATAAAATTAAATCTATCAAATATCTGTCGTGTTTCATGCACGCATCATAATGCCACATTTTGGTGGTTTTTCCAGATGATGGCCACAAGTTTTTTTTCGTGGGTTGAAACATTTATATTTTCTAACAGCAATGATAAACGTTATTGTTCCATCTCTTTTAAAATCTTTGTTTGTCTTTTCTTTAATTTAGATCAACGTCTTGATTTGCACAAATTTCGTGAAGAAGATCCCGATATAATCAAAGGTCAACTGGTGATTAGTATGATTTCTCGTGATACGGCAACCACATCAAAAACAACAGTTATTAATAATAATAATTCATCACGAAACAATAATGTCACCATTGCAAATGGCAGCAATCATCATCATTCACATCGAAATAGTGCCATATTGCAGAATATGGTTGTAACAACAGCATCACCTACAACAAATACCACGACTGCATCTGATAATCGTATCGATGATAATTCTACCAATCAAGATGGTATTACACGATCTCGAAACTATGTTGAAGGTGTTGATGATTTACCCGATGGTTGGACAGAATGTCGTACATCAAATGGCCGTTTGTATTATATGAATCATGTTTTGCGCACTACACAATGGGAAAGACCTATTCTGCCGGCAGCATTAACCGTATCTAATTCACAAACACCAAGCCGTCCAGCTTCTTCACGTTCGATTTCTCGTCACCATCACCAACATCTTCATCAACATCATAATCATCAACCACAAAGTTCACTTGAATCGACTAATAGTGTTTCATCAGCGAATTCAGTTCTCACGAGTCAATCGACGGGTCCGCAACAGCAACAACAGAGAAATAATCATCAACGTCGTTCGACTCGCCATCGAAATTATCTAGCTCGTAATCAACTGCATGAAGCTGTCATGACTGCATTGAATGCAGCTAATAATAATAATGATAATTGTTTCAATTCCGATTCGGAAATAGCAATTAGTAGTAACAATGATAATAATAACAGAACTCAATCTTTACCTCCAATGCCCGTAGGCTATGAAATGAGAACAACACCGCAAGGTCAGGTATACTTTTATCAAATCGATTCTGGCAACAGTACATGGACAGATCCACGAGTCCCACGAGAATTAATCAATATGGACATTAATCTTGACGAATTAGTAGGACCACTAGGGTGTGGCTGGGAAGTTCGACATACGTCTGGTGGCCGTCGTTATTATGTTGATCATAGAAATCGTACAACACAGTTTACTGATCCACGTTTAGTCTCGCATTCCCGAATGATAATCAATCTCATAAAATCATTAAGTAAAAGCTCACAAACATTAAACAATCATTCACAACAACCACAATCTAATGATAGCTCGAATATTCATCCTTCAAATCATGATAATAGCAATAGTAGCAGCAAAATTAAACGTACTGCAATTACTACTGCCGGTGATAATCTACAAAATCTTAAAAATGGAATCTCAAGCCTGCCAGTTAATCAACAACAAAAACGACGAAATCTTGTGCAGAAAATGAGTTTACTACGACAAGAATTGCAAGCATTTCAGCCACAATCTGGTCATTGTCGAATCGAAGTATCTCGTGATGATATTTTTGAGGATTCATATCGTTTCATTCTAAAACTACGACCAAAAGATTTACGTAAACGATTGATGATAAAATTTAAAGACGAAGAAGGTCTGGATTATGGTGGTATAGCTCGTGAATGGCTTTATCTGTTATCACATGAAATGTTGAATCCTTATTATGGTCTTTTTCAATATACGCGAGATGATATATATACGCTACAAATTAATCCCGATTCATCTATTAATCCGGTAATATAATTTTACTTATTTTGCTTGATAATCTTGATCTAATTTGAACATATAATTTGCAGGATCATCTTTCATATTTCCATTTTGTTGGACGTGTAATGGGTATCGCTGTTTTCCATGGACATTATATTGATGGAGGTTTTACTTTACCATTCTATAAGATGCTACTGAACAAACCAATCACGCTTGATGATATTGAATCAGTTGATCCTGAACTTTATCGCAGTTTACGATGGATGCTGTAAGTGTCACGTAGATATAACTCTAGATACAACAACTATGAGCCTTTAAGGCTAATTATTCGATAATTTTCTAAAATATTCTATTTTAATCCATGTACAGTGAAAATGATATAACCTCTGTGGTAGACATGACTTTTTCGGTAAATCACGATTCATTTGGCCAAATTCAAGTGAAAGAATTAAAGCCAAATGGAAAAAATATTATTGTCACTGAAAAGAATAAAAAAGAATATGTACAATTGTATGTTAATTTTCGGTTTACGCATGGAATCGAACAACAATTTCGAGCCTTACAAAAAGGATTCTGTGAATTAGTGCCGCAACATTTACTTGGCAATTTTGATGAAAAAGAATTGGAATTAGTCATTGGAGGATTGGGCAAAATTGATCTGGCTGATTGGAAACAGCATACTCGGTTAAAACATTGCTCACCGGAATCGAATATTGTGCAATGGTTTTGGCAAGCAGTAGATTTATTTAGTGAAGAGCGCCGTGCTCGTTTATTACAATTTGTGACCGGCAGTTCAAGAGTTCCATTACAAGGTTTGTGCTCAACTAAAAATCGTAATGAAATGTCATAAATTTTTATTATTTTCTAATAGGCTTTAAAGCATTACAAGGATCAACCGGAGCAGCCGCCCCTCGTTTATTTACCATACATTTGATTGATGCCGATACAGAAAATCTACCCAAAGCTCATACCTGTTTCAACCGAATCGACATTCCTCCCTATGAGAATTATGAAAAATTATTTGAAAAATTAACACAAGCGATTGAAGAGACTTGTGGATTTGCAGTTGAATGAATTGAATTGATGATAAATCTATGTTAATTTTACATTCCCAATGCATTTTCAAAACAGTCTAAAAGTATTTGGATGTTTGTGCCTCTTATTTTTTCTCATTATTTCAGTCATCAATTTCATTATCATAAAGATGTATTTTTGGCAAAAGAGCTTCCTACATTGCTCAGCTTATTATGAAACAATACATAAAAGATGTTCATCATTTTGAAAATTTGCTGTGATATATGGAAACAGCAATTCCTTTTCTGAACTTTTCATGGACCATCATCCTACAGCCATTACCAAGTACAACAACAAATCAGTCATTATCACTGTCAAACATTACAAAAAAAATTTTTGAAATTTTTTTCTCACATTTTATTAGGGAATTTATTTGTTACTTGTCATTCATTTGTGCATTATTTTCATTATAAAATTTTTTCTCAATTTCATTTTCATTCATCAATAAAGTTGGCAACAGAATCGGCCATTATTCCTAGATAACTTGGCCATCTTTGATATTTGTACTCTTTGATTGGAATCTGTTTTTGTTTCATTTTATCGAAACATTTTAGATTTACTCGATGGACAGTCATCGAACCCATCTCACGAATCCAATCATTCCTTTTGACTGGATCATCATCCATCACCATAGTCGCTGGTTGATAATCGCCAGTTTTTTTTGCACAGATTTCGTTGATGGCCGCTTCAAATGCGTCATGATCATAGTTCATTTGTTTAAATGGAGAATCATCATTCATTAATCGTAACTCTTTTTCTTGTGCTAAATAACTTTGAACGCAAGTTCGCATTGCATCGGACATTAATCGTACGCTTTGAGATGGAGGGAATGTATATGTTGCAAATATAATATCGATTGAGCCATCAACTGGTAATTGATCATTGTCAGAATATGATTTTAATGATGGCGCTAATGTACCAGTTGATATGACTCGTTGAATAGAATCACCATTGTGAAGACCAACATGTCTTTTTCGTCGCTGTTGTTGCAAATTCAATTCCCCGATATCAAAACTCGGTACATTTTTGGACCATTTTTTGAATTTTTTCAGCATATCCAAAGTGTTTTGATTAGAAAAAACATTGTCATACCGTTCAAATGTTTGTGCAATAGGTGAATTTCCATAATTATTCATTTGTTGTCCGTCGTTGACATTAGTAACAGTACCCCAATTTTCATAGGAAGATGGAGTATTGGATTGTACAACTTGTTTGCTTTGATACCATTTATAACTTATTTCTGTATAATTTAATTTCTCTATGACTGGCTCATCGGTTCGAGAATCATAAATCTTTTCCAAATTATTCGGTGGAGTTAGAGCCAGAAATTGTGTGTATTGTCTCGTTTTTTCACCATACCTAATGCGGCAAAAGTCTGCTCGCGATGTTTCATGTACCGTAGCATCCGATCTTAGTTGGAAAGGATCATCGTTGATGATTTTATAAGTTGAATTGCCGTTCAGGGAAGAGTTAGTGCACGAAGAATACCAAAACAAAAACATATCATTTCTAGCTAAAGTTGAAACTGTTAATGGAGAAGATTGAGTCCCTATGGACATTCGTATTGGATTGTCAATCAAAGATTTTCCATTTCGTCCATCAAGAATATGAAATTCTGAGTAATAATAAATAGGAAAACCTGGGCCAAATTGATAAATGACACCAAAATCAGGTACATCATCTTCGTTGAAATAGCCAATCGAGGGAGTGCTACAAAAAAAAATGAGTGAAAATCAACAATTTACAACAATTTTCAGTAATAATTACCAGTAGGTTTCTGATCCAGGAAGTTCATGCTTCCAAATCTGTTCAAAAGTAAAACCATCAAAAGCGAATACGGTTGAATTAAAATTGGCAAGAATGATATCGAGAACATCGTCACCATTTATATCAATCAAAACTGGCGGTGCAATGACACCTTTGCAACAATCCTGATAAATTGCTCGTGAATTATGTTCAATCTGCCCATTAAGTAATGCGTCTAATCCAACAACGTATAAACCACCTGGATGTGTTTCACCTCCGGTACCATAAAGTATTAACAAAGTTCCATCTGGATGTACTAATAATTGTGGTGAGTAATAGCTTTCGGCATTATTTGGAACATAACTCCATTTCAATATTCGGCCAGTTTTTCCAGAAATAACCATCAAACGAGCAACATTTCGCACACGTTGATTTGGTTTGCGCAAAGGATCACCTCCATGCATGACCACTATCTCGGGAACATTGTCGCTATCAATATCTTTGGGTATCATCAATGGAGTGTAGAAATTGGAAGTTTCTGAGATTGGCTCTCCAAAACTTGAAGTAATTTTCCATAAAACTTGGCCAGTTCGACCATCAAATGCATAAAGTGAAGCCATTCGGCCACCAATAATACAATCTTTGACTCCGTCATTGTTAAGATCGCCATTGCAATTTGAAGCGAACATTTCATGGGGTGTATATTGTGCCCAAATCGGTTCTCCATTCGTTCCATCTAATGCCATAACTCCACCACCACATCCTACCGTTTTACTTTTTTCCTGTGTCTGATTGAAATATATCTGGCACAAAGTATCATCATAATAAGCTGCGTCAATTCCGGTTCCAAATGGCACGATAACATCAAGATATGTATCATTGTTAACATCGACTAAACGTAACGCCGATTCAATGGTCAACATTGGAAAATTTTGCTGCCATATTGATTTGGTCACGATATGATCACATATAATACTTTTATCTTTGTTACTAATGATGGATGAAAATGGTTGAATACCAAAAGCAGAACGTATGATATCTGGTAGATTTTTTGCATTCAATAGCAAAAACAATAGGAATGCTATACAAAACGCTAAACTGATACAATGTTTTAAAAAACGACGAATACGCAGCATTCGATGACGGCGTGAAGGTTTAAAGATTTTGATTTTACCGATTGTTATTGGTGGCGGAGTGTTTAACGAATGTTTCGACCTCGATAACGAAGTCATTTCGTCATCATCTTCAATTGAGTTTGATTTGCCATTACATTCAAACTTGACCGATTTCTTTTTCTTATTATGTGATGATTTTGTCGTAAATTGAAGTTTCGATTCTTTAATCAATGGTGCTTTATGCTGTTCATCTTCATCTTCATCCAAATCAATTTCATAATCATCATCAAGACTTTCATCGGTAGAAAATAATAATTTCCTAGCATCACTTGATGGCACTGATTTTGTGGTTGCCAGAATTTTTCTCTGTTCTTCTTCATCTTTTTTAGCCATTTTTTATAATTATAATTATTGATAAAGATTTATCATCAACATCAATAGATTCATGTTTGTTTTGGTTTCTATAAACAATCCATCAGTTTTTTTCAGACATTTATATATAGCATTTACATCAAACATTTCGCATCTGAGCTGCGTAAAAAATTCATTAGATCCTCGTTGGAACATGGAATATTAGACCGACTCAAATTGGGAGAATATAACGGATAAAAGCCGCCACCAATCGTTTGAAAATTCAAATGCATCGATGAAGGTGTTCATTACTTCAGTATTTGTTTTTTTTAAGTTTCAGAAATATAAATTCTAATTTCAACCAATTATGACCAATATACTTATTATTGTCACTGGTTCGGTCGCAGCAATCAAACTCCCAATTTTGGTAAAGAAATTACAACAAAAACGTCTAACCAATGGCAATTCGTTTCAAATTCGTATTGTTTTGACTGAACCAAGCCTTCATTTTTTTAAACTTGTCGAAGTTGAAAATTTATTACCAGCCTGTTCCATTTTTCGAGATGCAGATGAATGGTCAAAATGGAGACAAATGGGTGATCCTGTACTTCATATTGAATTAAGAAATTGGGCCGATATTGGCGTGATTGCGCCATTGGATGCAAACACAATGGGAAAAATATCTAACGGTATTTGTGATAATTTGGCTTCTTGTATAATACGCGCTTGGGATATGAATAAACAGCTGTTATTTGCACCGGCTATGAACGTTTATATGTGGAATCATCCGATAACGGAAAAATGCATTAAAGTTTTAAAAGAATTAGGCTATATTCAAATTGGACCGATTTCTAAGAAGCTAGCCTGTGGTGATTATGGAATGGGAGCCATGGCAGAAGTTGATCAAATTATAACAAAAATTATGGAATTTGTAAAATAAAATAAGCTTTAATCAAACATCAATTATTGGCCAATCTTTAAAAATTGAAAAAAAATTTTGTACTGTATTCCAATCTTTTTGATATTTTTCTGAATACATGTTTTTTACATTTAATTTGACAATTAATTGTTCAATATTTTGCCTTAAATAAAAATCACTCACTATTGATGTACCCAAAGTATTGGGGAATGTTTTTCTTTTTGTTGCTCCTAATCGCCGGCCGTTAGCTAATATTTCAGTTTTTAAATTTTTATCACAGTTCATCCAGGCTACGATGGAGCTTCCACATGGCGTATTGTTTTTAACAAATTCTTGATGTCTGAATTGTTGAGCAAAATGTAAATGATAAGGTTGAGAAAATTGAAATTCACCTATTAAATTATTCGCAACTTTGCTGTATTCTTTTTGATCTGTTGTTAAATAATCTTTGACTAAATCGAATCCATCCAGCGTTTCCAAATTATCAGTTTCGCAATTACCAATCACAATATGATTGAAAATTATCGGTTTTCCAATAATGTCAAAAAGTCGAGATCCTTGTAAACCGAAAATTCGCCATTTAGCAATTTTATGCACACAGGCAGCTTTCGGACAAAATTCTCCACGTCCTGGTTTACGATTGACACGAATCCTTTTGTTTTTTGAATTATTTTGATAATCACCTTTCCAGCGGCTAAACGAACCACAAGGAAATTGGCTAACAAAAAGGCAATAATGACGTCCACTTAATACTGCAATATAGTTTGATTAAAATTTGAAAATACAGTATAATTTGATTGGATATAACACCTTTATCGTAGAATTGATCTAGATTTTTATTAGTATCAAACCAATCGTTGATCATTTCGATGAGATAGCATTTGAAAGCTCTTTTTAATAATGGTTCAGCATGGCAATCAACAATATCTTCATGACGATAGGGAACATTATTTGGAAAACATTTTGTTCCAGTCGTCAAACAAACAACCTTTGGCGATGTTTTTTCTCGATATTCAACCAATCCAGCAATAACCGTATATTCATTTTTTCGGGGATTCGGTTTACCCGATTTGCCTATAGTAAAAATTTTCAAATTAAAATGCTATCTTTCTAAATGGGATCGATTTACCTAATCTATTATATGAATCGTAACAGAGCGAAGCAATGACATTGGGATCAATCCTTAAGTCATTATCTGTTGGGTCATTATCAACCATTATATCAAACTGATATTTAGATATGATCTAATTAGATTGTTTTGATTTCAACAACAATGTCTAATATACACGTCCTATGCGAACAGTGTCAATTTGAAAATTGATAAACTAAATTCTGTAAAAAAAATTCTCAATTTTAGTATAATGGTATAGTTGTTGATGATGATAATTATTCAAATTCTTTCATGCATCGTTTGAATCTATTCCCATACATTCATTATTTAGTTAGAAATGAGTTGACATTTAAGCAGTCAATTATTATAATTCTAAATATAACCATGTTTGCCTTCTTTTTTTTTTGTTGATGATGATGCTGATTGTTACATTATAACTATGATTTTTTTTTGTTATCAATTCAGACAATCTTCAGCGAAATTCTTTTCATCTTTATCAAAAATTGATATTGAAAACATATACGAAATTATTATTTTTAAATTGAAAGTGTCCAGAATCGAAACAGGTATAGAAAATGTTAAATTTCTTTTGGGATCGTTAAATTACCATTACATTATTCTTTGCATTCCATGAGTTGAATGTTTTCTTATTAGTTTTGAATGATAAACAAAAATATGTTTACCATTCCCATTTGTAAGCATGTTATTTATATCTGAAAACAATTGGCATTCTTCTCTGATGTATGCATATATCCAAACCGAACCGGCAACAAGCCAATCAAATTAAATTTTTCATCAAGGGTATCCATCCATATGATGAATTTCATCATACAAACTAACACCACCAAGAAATTCGTATGAAAATGTCATAAAGAGTATGTGTTGATGAGTAAAATTTGTTCAACAATAAAGCAATCAAAAAAAAGCAAAAACAAAGTTTGAACTCATAAATCCAAACTACCACCAAACAAAAACGACAAAATCTGTTTATATTTTTATCATTGTTTATCATGTTCATACCACTTGTTGTCGTTCAAATATAAATCTAGCTCTCAACTCACAAAAATTATACGCTTACAACTTTCATATTGATAATTGAAAATGGTATAAATGTTAGTATCTTTGGTTACCCATCGTTTTCTTCGACTATCGTAAAGTCAAAACAAAACCATACGTCTATTGCACTACAGAAAAAAAGTTTGAAAAAAGCTTTCTTTTTTTGGCCAACTTTATCATTTCTTTCAAAAATCATTGGCCACAATATCAAAACTAAAACAACCGATTACCTTAGAAAAGAAGACAGACCGTCATCATCGTTGTCTGCCACTGAATTCCAATAAAATATTTGAAAAACAAGATAAGTAAAAAAAACAGAAAAAATTTCTTGTTTTGCCGGTCATCATGAATGGAATATATCTCGACAGATTATGATCAAACATCGTCCCACAGCAAGTGGCATAGTTGTTGAATTTTTTTTTTCGTTTGTCGATCTGTAAATGACATTCCACGTTTGCCGATTTGAAATTATTTTTTTCTCATCTTAAATAAAAAACATTTGTTGCTGGCTTTATGGTTTTTTTTATCAACTTATAAGTTCTACATTCATGCTCACCAATTTTGGCAGTGTCAATATTTTGAATGTGAAAGTTTTGTTTTGAAATTAAATTTTCTTGACAACAATATCAAACATCACAAAATTATTGACAACTCATTATTTGTCGATAATAATTATATGGTAATTCATTGTTTTCATCTGAATGTCGAATTGAATAAAATTGCGAAGAAAGATATGATTTAATGATAAAATTTGTTGATGATAATCATTTACACTAAACAACGATAATATTTTTTTTTTTTTTTGAATATTTGCTCATGCTTTTCTAAAAAAGAGTATCATAATCAATTGACTTAGAACCTAATATGTTATTCATAACACAATGAAAGAAGTGTCACATTTGTAAATTCGTTTATTTATTTATTTTTTAAATTTATTTGTCAACCAGCAGCAAACAATTTTTTCGTCAAATAGATAATTGCATTTGATTATAATTTTCGATAGATAATTTTTATACCACAATGAACGATCCATCAATAACGTTAATTCAAGATCCCCAGTCAACGACATCATCTTCGATTGTTAATAATTATATTGAAAATAATTCTTCGATATTTCAAAAAACATCATTATTAACCGGCGATAATGAATTATCTTCTCCGATATTTTCATTGTCTCCAACATTAAAAATGTTTTCTAGTCCTGATAGCAGTAACGATTATTCTATCACAACTAACAGAGATTCATCATTAGATGTTAATTTGTCAACAGAACATAACAAAAAATTTTCTTTTTCATCCAGTACATCTGTTTCAGATTCCGGTACCGAATCTATCGTAGATGAAGATTTTGTCAATGAAAAAATTTCAAATTATTTTGTTCAAGATAATTCAAAAACGACCCGTTTAACACGTAGAAGAATGACCGGCATATGTCATTCAACACCAATGAAAATCAAAGATATTAAAGATAATAATGAAAAAGAGGAATTTAGTTCTTCTGATAGTGATAATGAAAGTGAATCAACAATTTCAAATTGCGAATCACCATCATCATCATCATATCCATCATCTCCTGTCAATGATTTTGATGGTACACCACGATCCAATGACACCATTCTTGATCTTAATACCATTTGTGCTGTTTTAAACAAAAAACTTCTTGAAGATAATGAAAAACATAATAGTCATGATTACAACAGAATTCAAAGTGATATTATAAATGATGACAGCTTAGCCAACGACACATTCGAAAATGTTGACAACAAGTCTGTTATGATACATTGTGATTGTGATAATTCTTACATTTTGTCGGATGATAGCAGTCAAAATGACCGACGAAATTCAACACTGGTACGCTCGACTTCATTGAAAACTGGCAAAACTCCACCAGGAACTCCTGGCAGTAAGAAAATCGTTCGATTTGCTGATGCTATGGGTCTTGATTTGGCATCAGTTCGTCATATTGTCGATGATGTTCCTTATATGCCACCGTTGTCAGCATTCAAATCATTACAACTTGATGATGAAGATCGTGATTGGTTATTACAGAATCGTTCTATTCATCAACCCTCGTTCAACTTGAATTACCATCCAATAGCCAAAACAAATGAAATGCAAGTAACTATGCGAATGCTTTTTGCACAGCCAAGTTCTGATCCTGTCAATTTTATGGAACGTGTTCGTACGAATAAAATTTGTCTTGAAAATTGTTTGCTTAGTGGCCCTACCGGTTCCAATTATGTTTTCAGCATAAATTGCATTGTTCGCGTATTGAACGTCTGTTTTAACAAACAAGTCATTTTACGATACACAACAAATGAATGGCTAACATGGATAGAAGTTCCAGGAACTTATGTACCTAATTCTAATGATGGTTTTAGCGATAAATTCAGTGTCAATTTTGTATTGGCGGTAAATTCAAATGGTCATCAGACAATGATGCCCGGACAACGATTAATGTTTGCTATTCGTTATTTAACCGAAAATCTCGATGAATATTGGGACAATAATGTTGGTATGAACTATTCTTTTATTTATCAGCGATGTTAATGATGAAATTTTACTTCAAAAATGTTCATGTCATAATATGTGCATGTATTCCACACTTATGAGAAGAAATTTTGATCAAATATTAATAATCATATGGATTTCATTTTTAAAAATATCTGCTAAACTATCTGTCTTTCTTCAGTTGATTTTATTCATCTTGATCTGTTTATATTTTATCTGATAAACTATATTTAAATAAACTTTATTATTTTAATTCATTTGCAAAAGTTATTACGATTTCTATAGGGCCGGTTGTATATATCTATTACTGTTTCATTGAAAAATGCCTTGATAAGAAAACAATCCTGTCTGCTTAATATAAAAAATATATACTTTGGATTTTGGTTTTTCGATTTGGATTTCATAATAATTTAATCAATTCATTCAAAATGAATTTTGTCGAAGAGCCAATTTTTTGTCATGAATTTTTTTCCTATTATCATCATCATCGATAATATAAGTTTTTAATGTATGATAATCTTGTTTCTACGAATAAAGGAAAACAAATAATATCCATAAACAACTCGAAATTTCTATTTTGATCGATAATAAAATAAATGTTGCAAATATTTGATAAATAAAATGATTTTGATGTCGCGTGTGTCAATCGATGTTCAATTGATTTACTGTTTACAAAGGAAAACGTCTCAACAAGTGTGAAAATGAAATTTTTTAAAAATGATTTACATAATAATTTCCATTCAATCAAATTATATTTAAATTTTCCGGAAAATGATAGTACATAGGAAAACAAATAGTATTGGTATAAAAATGGTTATTGGAAATTTTTTTAAAATATAGCTTTGAAGAAAGGAAAAGTGCTTCCAACGTTTTATACGGCATTACGGCCAGCTGTCTGAGATATCAACAAGTTTAACAACTTTTAATGTCCAGCCTGGAGGATAGCCGTTTAAGCAACAGTATTTTGTTGTTATTCTTCATGTTCAACACTTTGTTATTATAAAAATGGAAATATGAAGAAATGAAATCGTATTTACTTTTACAATTTTCATACGTCATCATAAATTTGTTAATCTTCATTAAAAGCGAAAGTGATATCAAATTTTTTTCATGGATTCTTCATCATTTTCAGTGCACCAATCAATTTTTGTTAAGAATTAAGGTCTGATTTCAATTAGCAACGATTGATGACGTAGTATTTGATTACAAATGATGATCAATAATGAAATTTGGCTTTTGATCTTAATGTTTATCAACATTGATAAGCAACAATGTCTACAGCTTCATTGACGATGAATGGAAATTCATTGGTTTTTATATCACAGAATCAAATAAAATCTCGACACTATTCAATTCAAAGGTTAATTATATTTATCGCATTGTTCATTACGATAGTTATCTTTTACATGATGACAAATTATTTGGATAAAAGTCGTTCATCATTTTATCGTGTTGATTATCGGCATTATCCTCTGAAAGAATTGACAAAACGACATATGGAAAAGAAGAAATTATATCCTATATTTGGGAATGTACAACGACCTTTACCATCGTTGATGGTAAAACCGTTAAGAAATGCTTCCCGATCACACACTGTTCAACAGATAACGGAAGAAAATCTGAAAAAATTATTTAAGGTATGTTTTTTGATTGTCCGTTGTTGTTGCAAACAATTCTAATTTTATTCACGATAAGATTGCCCGACATTATATGAACAAAGAACAATTAATGAATTGCACTGACAAAAAATTTTATCACCGTGAAGGATACATAAAACGTCGAACACGATTGAATCGTATATGTAAATATTATGGATTCTTGGATAGAATTTTTAACACATGGCATTTATCAACAAATCGTCGTCGATTTACGTTGTCTCATCGACATCATGGCAATGGCGGCAATAATACATCATCCTTTCAATATAAATATTGCAGCACGCGTACATGTCCTCTGTTGGTGAATGACAATCATCGACTTGTTACGTGTTTTGTGCAGAAAATAGCTTCAACTACAATTAAACAATTGTTTTTATACTTGGAAAATCAGAACTTATCCTCCATCGCTTTGAATGATACGATCGATCGATCACCAATCGAATCTGTAAATAATTTATCCAACTTTCATTTCAAATCAAATGATCAATTGTATCGAATATCACCGACATTTCTGGTGCATTCACGTGAAGCACAGTATTATAAGGCCATATTTGTTCGGCATCCATTCGTAAGAGTTGTATCAGCATTTAAAGATAAAGCTGAACGACAACCGGAAGAAGAACAGTTTTTTTATGAACACTACTGGAATCCTTTATTGGATAAGCTTCATGGAAAAAAACGAGATCCAACACTTCGTGTAACATTCAAAGAATTTATAGAGGAATTTTTACTACCCAATGATCCATATCAATATGATGAACATTGGGCACCTGTATGGACTCGATGTGAACCATGTTTAGTTCATTATGATTTTATTGGAAAACTTGAAACAAGCGAAGAAGATTTTCGTAATTTTAAATCCCGAGCAAATGACAAACTAATTAATGTTACAGTATGGGAAAATCTAAATGAACAATTTAGTTTCTCAATGAAAAACAATGTTTCGTCATTAATATTAAAAAAATGTCAACGACAACGATTAAAATATGCTGAAACTATTCATTATTTATCACTGCTATCACCAAAATCATTGATTGAGCTATATAAAATATATTATTTAGATTTCGAATTATTCGGCTATACAATCAATGAATTATTCGAATCGATTACCAATTAAAATCTTGTAAATTATTTTATTCAATTTGAAAAAATCAAATATTCGATCAAATATTTTTTAAACAAAAAAAAAATCTCATTTTTATCGCTTTTCACCAGAAATGATAAAAACTCAAAAATATAAAAAAATTGAGCCAAGTCCAGTGAACTTTTCCAACGACCCAATGCATGAGAGATGATATGATAAAAGCAAAACTTTTTTGTTAACATTGTCTTAAAAGGCCAAATCTTGAGCAAAAAAAGTTAGTTCAAATGTTTCGTCCTTTAAATAAGTTAGCAAAAACACATGGCAACCATACTGATACAGTGGTACCTCGGTTAACGATTTCGGTCAGGAGACCGTTAACGATGATTAAAAAACAAGTATTGCATTCAGGAACCGATCACCGTCGTTAACCGACGTACCACTGTATATGGATATTTGGCCGATATTTATCCAAAAACTATTAGGTTGGAAAATTGATAATTTTTCTCTTTGAATAAGTCAAATCAATAGATGATTGTATAGAATAAGCTTTTTTTTACCAATCTAATTGTTGTAAACATTTTTTTTCTTCCATAAAAATGGACAAATATTTACATCAACTATCATTCAGTCAATACATGGTTTTTTTCTTGATTAATCATTCATCTGGCTTAATTATTGATCACCGGATGATCAAAGTGATACAAAGTCTTAATTCATTTCTGAGAATCTAAATTAAGAAATTGAATTAAAATGTTGTCATCATAAATCACAACGAAGGCATATACCAAGATAGCCGATTTTGTTTGTTTGTTGACAACTGTTGGACTTTTTTTTAATGGTAAGTATCACAATTCATGTATGCCATATATTGTAACGTTTGTTTACAGTCATTTTAAATGATTTTTTTTCAAATGACATTTTCAATATAATCAACTAATTCGAATGATTGATATCAAAAACTTATTTCAATGATGGAATTGTTTAAAAACAAACAAGATCAAACAAAATAGACGATCGAAATCCTGTCAATCAAAAATTCATTTTGATCATCAATGACTTTTTATTGTTTGTTTGTGAATTATTTGGTTTTGTAAAGAAGAAAATATATCGCGTGTTCATTGCATGATAAAGATAATCGATTCGAAAAAAAAATCATGCCTTTTTATCATACGATTTTTTTGGTCTGTTTTCTTCATTGATTTGATTATGACGACAATGAACAATGCGTTTTTGTTAGGTTAAAATATTGATAAATCATTTACTGTTGTTGACAATTAGCATCGAAATCATAAATAAGATAAATAAACGAAAATCTTGAGCAATATTGAAAACAAATAACTGAACAAGAAAAAAATCATCAGTTTTTTTTGGTGGTTCGAGGTTAATTTTGGTGATCATCATTCAACAATACCACTATCGTGATCATCACCGTGATCAATTTTTTTTTGCTGATTGCATAACCTCCGATTATCATCAACATTTACCACATCTTATAATCACACTGTTTACATGCATTTCATCTTGGGATCTGCTGAGATATTTTCGTCGTCGCTGTTTGATGGATGTTTGTTTTAGTTTTTTTTAAAAATATTTTTTGATTCGATTCGAATGTTGTCGAGCATGTTGACTACATCCTACATCATCATCATCATCATCACTCACATCATTGCTAACCCAGAGAGTGTTTGCCAGGAATTTTAGTGCTACATCAAACGAAAAAAAAATTGTATGCAAAACTGAAAACAAAATTCTTTTTCATGAATGAATCTTCAATTTTTCTAGAGTTTGATGAATTCAATTCAATCAAATTTCAATAAGTTTAAATTTATTAAAAAGTTCAAAAACTGTGATAAATGTATGAACATTGACTTCTGTTCTTTAAATTCGTCATAATTGTCAACAAAATTCCATAGATTGAATGAAATTAAAGTATAAAAAAAATGTCTACACCATTGTTATCGATGAGCCATCATAGTAATTGGTGTCATTCAGCGGTAGCTGCAACAACAGCATCGCTCAATACCGGAAATGTGTCATTCAAAGGCCAGACGTCCAGATTGGATCAACATAATGGAAATTTTGTCATGTCATCTTCGTTTGCTAAATCCACATCCAATATGTTGTTACCCTCGACTGCAATATTCTTCCAAAAAATCGGATGTTCGATGTCATTGCCTATCCTGTACTCGGATAAATTGACCCCTACAAACGACAATTTAAATGATAATTCGTCCACTAATGAGGATGATGATTCCCTATTGACAAGTTCGCTACCTAATCTCAAATTTTTTGATCAAAATTTCCATGAAATTTCACAACGTTTAGATTCAATTGATTCATATAAAGATAAAAATGAATTTGTTGAGTCAGTAAAAAATAAAACAAACACAGTTGATAATGAAATGATGGATCAACAAGAGCAAAAAAATTCTCGTGTCGATTCGTTAGATATTTATAAACGACGAAGATCATCTACTGAATTAGATTTGGCTATTGTTAAAAAATGTTTCAAAGGTAAAGATAATTCAATTGTTTCAGATGAATCAAATGAAACGACAATCGAAGAAGACCTGGCTCGTTTAAAAATCGAAATGGCTAAATCAAGCGAATACGATTCAATGGCTATATCAAAGTCTCCTTCAGATGGTCAAATATCGAATAAACAAGTAAATCGAAAAAATAGTTCCATGATACCAACTTTGCCTGATTTGGAATTATTGTCAAAACATCATGAAAATGACGACAATGCTGACCATCATCTTCAACAAACAAATCATACCTGTAAGTTTAATAAATAATCTGCAGATCGATTCAATAGTAGATGGTATATGATGCCTATGGTGTTAGACTCTAAGAATAATAACAATCGATTGCAATTTTGCTGATTCCAAATTTAAAATTTTCATTTTTCATTGGGACATGTTGTATCAGAATTATGAAATCAATCACATTTCTTTGCTGTCATCTCGATCGATGACGACAGTAGCCAATTTTTTTCCCGCTAACTAACTGCATCATGTCAAGGCATTTGATTTTTATTTTATTTTAATGAACCTCATTTAATTGATTTGTTCTATTAATATTATTTATTTATTTTTATTTTATTTTATTTTTTGCTAATACAGATGAACAAACAGCTCAGCAATTAAATAAAACAGAAGATAAAAATACAGAATCAATTCATTCTGTATCAAAATCGAATCGATCAAAGTCATTGAGCGTTAATTATAAAAAGAAAGAAGTACGGTTTGCTGATACTCTTGGCCGTGCATTGGAAAATGTTTGCTTTTTTGATAAAGATTCAAAGTTACCACTTCGTCGCTATTCCTCATACACACCTCCTGCAAACAACGAATGGAATACTGACAGTTGGCATGAAACTGAAAGTCATATTCAGAATAATTCTCGATTAGCAGCATCAAGACCGTCGAAGAAACTTGAATTTGTTGCTAATAACTTTGTAAATCCATCTCTTAGTCCATTTTTCAATCATCGTTTATCTGAATGTAAAGTGCTATTGCATTCTTTGTCAATGGCTGAAACAACTGTGTATGGAATCGTTTCAGTGATGAATATTCATTATGAAAAACGAGTATCTGTTCGATATTCATTTGATGAATGGCAAACGTACATTGACCGTGAAGCAACGTATATGCTTGGCTCGCATGATGGCCATAGAGACAAATTTTCATTTGTAATCCATGCTAGAAAACAAGATTTCAATATCGAAGATCCATCACCATGCAATCACTATCGTTCAACACCGAAAATGTTATTCGCCATTTGTTTAAAAACTGGAGATGGAAAGGCTTATTGGGACAATAATTACAATCGAAATTATAGATTGGATTTAATTTCTCAATAATTAATTAATTAATTGTTATCAAAGAAAAAATTTTAAATAATAATAGTTTTTAATTACATTTATTTTCACTTCTTTGATTTTTTTTTATAACTATCATCTGTGATCAATTTTGTGTGTGAATTATATCCTTTATTTGATTATTATTTTAAAAAATACCTATACTATTTTAAGTCTCATGAAAAATAAATAAATTTTAATCATTCAATCAACAACTTTATTTGAAATTTCACATGAAATTTTCAGTTTACAAATTTTTTAAAATTAATATTCAACATTCTCTCTCGATTCTTTTTTATTCAATAAGTTCGGAATTATAATCGATCCAATCACCAAAGTATCGAGTACTTGAAAAATAATAAACCAAACGAAATTTGTCATCTTCAGCACGTGGTAACATAACGCTTACTGATGCGATTCCGATCACTAAAGCTTTGAAATTATCGATACCTTTTTGTACATCGTCGACTGTACATATCAATGGGCCACCATAATCACCCTCAATAAATCCTCTATATTTTTCATCTTTGCTGAAACTATTGTTATGAACAGCACAAACACATAATTGTGCATTAAAATTTGAATCATAATGTCGGCATATATCTGCCTCCGATAATGACAATACAAAATTTTTCAGTTTTCCGCTTTTGTCTGTTTCGCTTTCATCTTTATTAAGACCATAACCATAGAAAGTACATCTATCTAAATAAACATCACTCAAGTCCACTTCGTTAAATTCTTGACAATACGGTCGAAAATGTGAAATATATGGCAGTGGAGCTTGTTTTGTTTTGGATTTTTCAAAATCTATTGGATTATTCAAATGTAACATTGCCAAATTATATTCAGAAGGACTAGAAGTTTTATATTTTTCATGAAGCTATAAATTAATTTTAACAAAAAAAGAAATTAAGACAAATTTATATTTCAATATTAGATTTATCATAATTGTTGACAGCACACTAACCTTATAACTGCGAATACTACTATAATGTATCGGTGAATTGTTATCTTTGACATACATAGTCCATTTTACTACAGGATCTATGTTGAATATCACAATAAATTGTTCTATATCAATATGATTTTTTAATCTAAATAGTGAAAAAAATAATCATTAAAATAATAATAATTTTACCATTATTTATCGTTTATACTTACATACAATCGGCTGATGTTAGGACATAATTCTGATTTATGATAATACCTGTACAATATACCTTTATGTTTGATTCTGGAAATTGTTGATAATTACAACATGGTCCAACATGAACAATAGCAGCAATATATTTCGCTTCATAAACCGGTTTGTTAATTATTTTTCCTCCAAAAATATTTCGTTTTCGGCTAATTTTTATCAAATCTGATGACCGATGACGTTTATTTTTGGCAGTTTGAATAGAATCGATTATGACAAGCGCAAAAATCAAAGCGAAATATAAATTTTTGAATATATTCATGATTACTATCGAGCTAAAAAAAAATAAAATTTTCAGCAAATTTTTTTCCGTTTCTTAACCAAAAAAATAGCACTAAATATATTACAGCACAAAAAAAATTCGTAATTTCATTATAAACAAAATGAAAAAAATTGATCAATATCGAAATGTAATTTAGTGGTCCTGAAAAGGACCGTTTAATAAGAAAATCAAGTGAAATTGAAATTCAATGAATAAACTTTCATCGCTATGTCGTTTTTGATTTTAATTGACCAAAATTTTTAAAGACATATTTTTTTTTATTTTTTGTAAAAATTTGTCAATACAAGAAAAGAAATCGAAAAAAAACCTGCAGCAAAACCATCAAAATCACCGAAAAAAGTTGCATCACAAAAAACCATCAATGCCAAAAAAGACTAAAAAATAAACAAATTTCTCATTTATTTGCAAATATTCTATTCATAAAACGGCTCTTTTCAGAGCCACAATTGATTACTCGAGAATCGTAGCAATTCAGAATTGTTTTTTCTTGAAAATCGAATTTAATAAACCTACATCTTGTATACGCGGAATCGTTGCTACAAGATAACCATCGAATACCAGACATTGAATCCAATGAATAAAATAATCAATAATGATAAATACAGCCAGATATTGTACCAATGCCCATTTGATAAGATACCAGAATCCGGTATTGTATCGAAATAATTGATCTTGATAATAGATGGTCATTTCTAATCGAAATGGGTGTTTTGTTTTAGCATTTAATATCGATTGATATGATTGCCAATGTTTATAATCGACTTTTATACGAGTAAAATCTATGATTACAAATACTAATTAATAATATTTTTCAATGTGAAAACCGAATGCTTACATTTTCGACGCGAATATTGTAATAAAATGTTTTCAAGATGAATTTTTTCATCCAAAGGAATAATACTTTGATTAAATCCAAATTCATAGCCTCGATGATGGAATGGTTTTCGTTGTACCAACTCTAGATGGCCTTCAATGCGTACATATTGTCCCGGATTATGATCATTTACAATTAAATCAGCCAATGATTCCATTTCTAAATGAATACGTTCAGATAAACGATATTGGAAAAAAGTTAATAAACGAAATCCACGAACATAATTCTGATTCAAATCCACCGGTATATCAAGTATTAGTTTTAATTCATCATATCGATGATCATTATCATAATCATATTCATATTGTGCAATATTGATTGGAATCAGATATTCATCATTATCAAGAATTCTATTAATCGTATCGATTGTACTAAATCCAATGGTTTGTTCATCATGATCAGCAATAGTTTGTACATTGAGTAAAAGTATGAAATTTTTTTTGAAATCTATATCTGGCATCTCACGATATGATGATTCTTTAATCCAGAATGAATCAGTTCTCCAAACGATTATCAATGGTAATAGGAAACGAATCAATGTTATGATAATAAAAAATATAGTTGCTTCGGATAATAAACGACTATTATAATAAATATAAAGAGGTTTGGCAAATAAATTCATTTTTTTTGTACTTTGTTCTTGAAATAAATTACAAATAAAATTTTGTTTGAAGCGAAAACTTTTGTAAACATTAGAAAAAAAACAAGTCCATTATTCTGGTCACCATGGGAACCGTTTATGATTGCCAAAATTCCAACAGCAGAAGTCGCTATATCTAACTAATTGTTTGATTATAAATGTATTCTGGTTGATAGAAATCTAGGACATCATTTGGATTATTTTTCGTGCAACTCTCAGCACAAGTAAACACAAGCAATGTTCCCCAATCCATATGATCATTTTTGGATAATTGAATTTTATTCAACAGGTTGGGCATAATTTGAAATTCGAATCGTCGTTTTGAGCCACAATTTTCACATTTCGGTACATCCGTAATGCGGTTACTATTCGAAATCCATAGAATACGATCCATTAATTCGGTTTTTTGTTGTTGCCAATCAGAATTATATCGAATAACTTCATCACGACGTATAGCTTGTCGAAAACGATCGAAAGTTTGTTGTTCCTGTTCATTGCATTCATTTTCAGGCAAATATTGTTCAATATTCTCATTTTGACAAGATGGTTGATTTTGGAGAAGATATTCTTGATATTTTTTCATTTCCATCTCCTCTCTAATATCGTCTTGTTCATCGGGTTGCTTTTCCGTTTCACAGGTTTCCTCAATAATTATTTCGTATTCTATAAATATACTGAATAGAAATACATATTTTCAAAAATAACATTAATAAACAAACCTGGAAAAACAATATCTTCATATCTTACATCTGAATCATTCGTTTCTTGATCGTTTTGTTGACATTTATTTTTATGGTCGCCTTTTTTCCAATGTGCAATCTGATGCTCTCGTGAACAATAAGAAACTTTTAGGCACTGTGAACAACGTTTGATCGCATGTATTCCACAAATCGGACATAATGATTGACAAAATTTAACTGGATTAGGATCATAATCTACACGATCTTGGTCATAATCGGGCGGATCACTTGAATAGAATTGATTTATCCGTGGTAGCTGACATCGAAAGACAAGAAATTGATTTGCACATTGTTCTTGACGACCACAACCGAATACAAATAAATGTCGATGAAATGCCTCTTCATTCGATTCGATTGGGGCATACAATTGTAAAATGAAACGCATTGTTCTTTGACATTTTTGACAATGTAATTGATCATAACCAAGAATAGGATTCAATACTAAAAATGATGGATTGCCACCGATTTTTGATGGAAAATATTTCGATTTTGAAAGCCATTTATCGGTGAATGGTTCAGCAAAACCAAGATCAATACTTTTCAATTGTGACATTGATCTTAAAATCGCGAATTAATATTTTTGAAAAAAAAAATTTGAAGAATTCTTAAACATGTGCTCAATTCTCGAAGAATTCTACAGTGCCGTCATCTATTGACAAAGCTTGAAAATTATTTCCATCGCCGATTTTCATAATTTTGTTTCAAAATATATTTTCGTTGAAAACTTTGGAATAAAAAAAATTTATGTGCAAATATTTTTTTTTCTTGTTCAAGTATGGGACAATAAAGAAAAATTCAGGGTTCTATAATGTTCTATTTCCTTTAGCTTTCTATCGTTGTTCTCAATCAATGTGTAAATATTTACATTCACTTTGCGGATGATGATGATGATGATTTTTTTTCTTCATTCTCTATCTATAGATCGGTGAATTCCATTGTTGCTAAATTATGGTCAACATGTCCTACTTATTTTTTTACTTTTCATTGAATAATTTCAATTCAATTTATATCTTCAACAAACAGGAATTATTTTCCATTTTCATTCTTTCAATGTCATAACAATTTTTTAAACGTTGATAATAGCACACACAATACAAATTTATACAAATTCGTATGATAAAAAAGAAGAAGAAAAATTTACATATCGATAATGTAGAAAAAATTGTCCCAATAAACCGTTTTATCTTTTTTTTTCACACTCAAAAAGAAAAATCAAATTTCAATTTTTAAAATTCTTGCTCATCATTCATTCTAAACAAAAATATGCTTCCATACAGCGAACACGAATATGTAATCAGTCAACAGTAAACCGAGAAAAAAGAAAAATTTTCTAGAATCCAATAAGCGGATTCCACACATACGCACACATACACACATATACCATTATGAGATATTTATTCAGTAGACCGAAAAAAATTGAAAATTCGAAACCAAATCCCGGACACATTTTGTTTACAATAATTTCACGATGTCCGATTCACACACAAACACATCGAAAATTTCAAACGATTGGCATTTCGATTTTCAATTCTCAATGTTTATGGAAATAAATTTCATCGCTTTTTTCTGGCAACATTTTTTTTATGCGATTCCCATGAATGACATCACACACACATTGCTATTTTTCAAATATGTCAATGTGTGTGTGATACAAATAATTATCTAAATCAAACAGAATGAGAATCAAAAAAAAAATCGTCATCATTCAAGTGATGGAAACAAAAATTCTGTCCAGGCGTTTTCATTTCAATTTTCACGGTAACTGTCTATTTTTTTTTTATTTGGATTCAATATATTCGGGTAGAGGAAACAAACAGATTCTGTTTACCAAACAAATAGTTTCGGCCGAATTTTTAATCGATATCTGTATATGATTATGATGATGGTATCCAAAAATATATGATATGTATCTTTTTTTTCGTTGGTATAAAAAATCGATTGGTATAAATTTTTATTTTTGTCAATTTTACTTTTCCAAATGTTGAAATATAATTATTGTCAAGAATAAGTCTTATTTGTTCGTTTGTGTTTGAGGGTTGTCTATATATCTGAACAGTATTGATTATGATGATGATCCATTTCTTTCAATTATTAAAATTCCATTCCAGCTATTTAGACATTTAATTGATTGGAAACTAACCTATCCACTTAAGTTGATCATTATGTGTGTGGTATATTATTATTATATAATTGCATTTATTTAAAAATTTTCCCAAAAAACATTACATCATCTTTATTCAATGATTACTGATGATTTTAGTGATAAAGTTTTTTAATTTGAAAAAAAAATTCACATTCACATCTACAAACACACTCATTATTTTGATTTGAAAAGAATTGACGACCTAGTTATTTTTAGAATGAAAGAAAAATTAATAAAAATTTGGAGAATGCCCTCAAGGATATACAAAAAAAAATTGTTAGTAGTTGATATGTTTAACTATCACATTTTGGGTGGCTGGCTGGTTACATTTTTTTTAAATTATTGAATTTTTTCATCATCATCATCATCATCATCATCATCTCAACTTCTTATTATCATTTTACAATCGATTCATTATTATCATTGTTGAAAAAAAATTTTCCCTTCTATTCATCTTTTTTTTCGCATGTTTGTTATATTTGTTTGGTGTCGTTGTTACATACATTTTTTCTTGGTTTTGTTAACATGTAAAATAAAAATTGATGGAATTTTGAAATAAGAATTAAAAGAAGTAAATTCTTTTCTTTTCTTTTGTCTCAGTGATTATTGTTTAGCAAATTTCAATCAACAAAAAGAGAGAGAGAATCAATTAAGTAACAAAGTTTCATTTGTCTCAATTGACATTGAATAATATTCTATATGACGAAATAAACTTACAATAATAACAACTGACAACAACAAAAACATTTCTTTAGAATTCTAACCTCATTTCAAAATTGTTTTTTTTTCAATTTGATTCGATCTTTACTCTCTCTCTCTTTATTTTTCCATTATGAAAATTATGTGATTAAACATCATAAGAATAACAAGAGATTATAATCAAATCTTTAAATGGTAAACAAAAACAAAAAACAACAACAACAACAATCACAATTCGTATTTCTTTTATTCTGATAATGTGTGTGCGTCTATTGAAAGAATTCTCATGTTTCAACAAAAGCAAAAAAAAAACAATATTTGTTTTCTATAGCTATAGCCAAAGACATTCTTTTTTACTCAATGTTTTTTTTTCGTTTTCTTCTTCTTTCTTTTATATGAAATTACGTAAAGACATGCAGCGAAATACTAATAAGTTTTTGTTGAAAAAAACTAAAGTTGTCCGGATTCTTATTTTTTCATAATAATAATAACGTTGATTATGATGATGATGATGATGATGATGGGTTTCCATTTTCTTCTTCGAATTCACAGTTTTTCTTTCTTTTTTCTTTTTTTTTGCTACATTCATATATTCAATATAATTATTTTTCCTAATTCTTCATCATCACCAACCATCTACATTTTCATTTTCATTTTTTTTAGTTCTTAATGAATCAATGAGAAATTCTAAGAAAATGAGTGAATGGATTGTATGTGTGTGTGTATAAAAATGGGAGAAACAAAAATCTTCTGTGGTTTTTTCCCATCGATTACCATCATCATAATCATTATTCTTTGATGGTGGTGGTGATGATGATGATGATAACTAATTATAATTATAATAATTGAAAAATAATGTTTCACTTATTCTCGGTTAAAATATGAACATAACCATCATCATAAAACTATTCAGTATTAGACCATGTTCTATTTTTTTTTCTTTCATTCTTTTCTTACATTGAAATATTGCTCTCATTCACATGAAAATTCATTGCTTTTGTTTTTGGTTCATCGGATTTTTTTTTCACTCGCCCATATTTTCTCATTTATTTATATCAATATATATGAAAAGGAAAAAAAAAATTTAAATGGAATTCTAATTTTTTTTTGTTTCTTTTACTTTTACAATTCAATCTTTAGAATTTTTTTTACTCATCATCATCATCAGTATGGTGATCTTGTTATGAATAATAATTAATGGCCGCAACAAAAAAAGAAAGAAAAGAATTCATTTCTTAGTTTATATCCTGTTAATCAAGAACAGGAAAAACAAAAACAAAAACATAAAAATTATTAATTGAGCTGTTATTCCAACTTCCCCTTAATCATCATATTAGTATAATGTGTGTAAGAAAAACAACAACATCACTATTTCTACCAAATAATGTTTTTACAACTATCAATTTTTTTTCCTTAAATTCGAATGAATATTTTTTTTAATATTTCGTATTTCATGTTGGTCTATTTTTATTCAATCATTAAATTATAGATTGATATTCAAACAGAATGTAAATTTTCATTCAAACTAATATTATTATAGTTTGCAAAAGCAAAAAAAAAAATTCTATTTGTCAATGTTTATTTTTTATTTATTTATTTTTTTTTTGTGCAAAATTCTATTCTTTCATCACTCATGACCGATGTCCATATGGAATTAATGAAATTTTCGATCCATAGAATTTATCGATTTATTTACCTTGATTTTCATCGGAAAAAAATCGAATGACAGGTGCAATATTAAATTAAATCACCACTCATTGGAATACATTATCATTGAATTGATTGATAAGCAAATTATTGAATTTAGTGAATGAAAAAATAAATGAAACGAATTTTTCACATAAAATCATATGAAGAGAGGAAGAACTAAAACAAAAAAAACTGGGAACCTTATGGGACATAAAAAACAATCAGGATAATTAACCTGGATTATATAACCTGCGAATTGTTTACGATAAGGATATAAGAGAATTGAATCGAGAGAAAAAAAAGGTAGGTCACCTGTTCTTCATTTTTATTTATCCTTTACTGTATTCTATATATTTCTTGTCAGAAACAAAACAAAACAAAAATTCAACCCAAAACAAAAATGAATAATGACCAAGAATGATTTGATGAAATAAAATTTCAAGTATATACCATACTATTTGAGAATATCGACCACAAGAATATAATGAACAAAAAAAAAATCTTTTTTAAATTACGCATGGCACAATTTTGATGTTTCAAATGAAAAGGTAAATAGAATTATTCGATTTGCGCATGCGGATTCTCTTTTTTTTCATTCGAATAATGGCAAAGGATTCGAAATTGTTCATTATTTATGACGAAGACTAAAACGGCCGGTTACTGCCATCATAATTTCTAATGCCACCACCACCACCACCAACAATAACAACAAGGATCACTATTTGACGATTATGTCGACGTTGTTATTTACCACCGTCATTATGATCAAATCATTCTGCTAAACAAGATCGATCGACCGACCAACATTATATTGTCGTCGTCGTCGTCGTGATGAGATGACAAAATAAAAAATTGTATCAACAGTGAATGAATCGAATTAGTTAAAGATAAACATTTTGGCAGTTTGTCGTCTGATCATCATTATCATTATCGTCAATGCTTGTATCTTGATCGAATTATTTATTTTGATACATTTAGCCGATATTTCCGTTTTGAAGTGAAATTCTCATTGAATTTTTTTTTTTGGCTATTTAAAATTTAAAATTTTTTCTTTTTCAATTAACGTTCAATAACTATCACCATAACAATTATCATATCATCCGTAAATTGGTAAGCATGT